GTTGCGCTGGTTCTGATGCTCTTCTGGGATACGGCTCCATCTGAGTCAAAGACAGCAGAAATATAAGTTTGTTCTAGAGGAAGATCATCATGAATGTTTAAACAAAATGGCACCTTTGCGTTCTCAATCAAGTACTCTTTCGTGAGAGAGGCCGGGTCTGACATGGAACGGTATTTCAATTCTGGCTAAAAGAAGAAAATAAATTATTTAATATTTGTTGAAACAGTTTGTTTTCAGCGTTGAATAAAGACCAGATAGAAATCCAGAAAAATTCCAGAGAAAGTCCAGAGAAAGTCCAGAGAAAGTCCAGGGAAAGTCCAGAGAAAGTCCAGGGAAAGTCCAGAGAAAGTACAGAGAAAGTCCAAGGAAAGTCCAGGGAAAGTCCAGAGAAAGTCCAAGGAAAGTCCAGAGAAAGTCCAGAGAAAGTCCAGGGAAAGTCCAGAGAAAGTCCAAGGAAAGTCCAGAGAAAGTCCAGAGAAAGTACAGAGAAAGTCCAGAGAAAGTCCAGAAAAAGTCCAGGAAAAGTCTTGAGAAAGTCCATAAAAAGTCCAGAGAAAGTAGAAAGAAATTCCAGAGAAATTCCAGAGAAATTCCAGAGAAATTCCAGAAAAGTCCAGAAAAGTCTTGAGAAAGTCCATAAAAAGTCCAGAGAAATTCCAGAGAAACTCCAGAGAAAGTCCAGAAAAGGTCAAGAGAAAGTCCAGAGAAATTCCAGGGAAAGTCCAGAGAAAGTCCAGAAAAAGTCCAGAGAAAGTGCAGAGAAAGTGCAGAGAAAGTCCAGAAAAAGTCCAGAGAAAGTCCAGAGAAAGTGCAGAGAAAGTCCAGAGAAAGTCCAGAGAAAGTCCAGAGAAAGTCCAGGGGTTTGGACATGGGACTCACCTGTTCATTCCAAGTGGTTGGGTTCTTTTTCCTCAGGATGGGATTAGTAATGACCTGTTTAAACAAAGAGAGTTGATGTTCGGAGGCTTCTTACATCCTCCAGAAACACTGACATCAGACAACATTCAGACCTACATCAATGACCTGCTGTCCATTCGATACTTCCTATAAAAGTGATAGATGTAAATGAGGTCCATGAATATTGTCGGTAAAAAAACAACCTCCAACAACAACAACCGACCTCTGAATTGAGAAACTTGTGTGGTTTGTTCTTGAGCGCTTTGTACAAGTCGTTGAACCATCCGTCCACATCGTTGCTGACAGGAAACGACAAAACACAGAAAAAATGTCATTTCCAGACTTTTCTTTGTGTCGTTCGTTTGCAATCTCACAAATGACAAAAGGAACTGAATGTAATGAATATGAAACAGGCCAAAAGTGTGTTGTGTTGTAAAAAGGGGACACTCTTAGGCAAGGCAAGGCAAGGCAAGTTTATTTATATAGCACAATTCATACACAAGGCAATTCAAAGTGCTGAACAGAACAAGAAAGCATTAAAATCATAAATAATCACAGTACATTAAAAAAAGATAAAAATATAAAATCCCTCAGTTGTATGCACAGCTAAACAGAACTGTTTTCAACCTTGTCTTAAACATTGTCAGAGAGGAGGCCTGTCTCACAGAAAGCTGTGTCATAAATAAATTATATTAAACAATCACTCAAATTATAAAGTGCTAAAGTGTAAATATACAGTATAGGGCTGGGGCCGGAGTGTCTGAAGAAGCACCATCCGAGGAGCCGTCTGCACCAAGAGCCGAGAGCCACCTGCAGCCACAGGGGACAACACAGGACCCAGAGGAGAGAGGAGGCCCCAGACCCAACAGGACCCAGAGGAGAGAGGAGGCCCCAGACCCAACAGGACCCAGAGGAGAGAGGAGGCCCCAGACCCCACAGGACCCAGAGGAGAGAGGAGGCCCCAGACCCCACAGGACCCAGAGGAGAGAGGAGGCCCCAGACCCAACAGGACCCAGAGGAGGCCCCAGACCCAACAGGACCCAGAGGAGGCCCCAGACCCAACAGGACCCAGAGGAGAGGAGGCCCCAGACCCAACAGGACCCAGAGGAGAGAGGAGGCCCCAGACCCAACAGGACCCAGAGGAGAGAGGAGGCCCCAGACCCAAAGGACCCAGAGGACAGAGGAGGCCCCAGACCCAACAGGACCCAGAGGAGAGAGGAGGCCCCAGACCCAACAGGACCCAGAGGAGAGAGGTGGCCCCAGACCCGACAGGACCCAAAGGAGAGAGGAGGCCCCAGACCCAACAGAACCCAGAGGAGAGAGGAGGCCCCAGACCCAACAGGACCCAGAGGAGAGAGGAGGCCCCAGACCCAACAGGACCCAGAGGAGAGAGGAGGCCTCAGACCCAACAGGACCCAGAGGAGAGGAGGCCTCAGACCCGACAGGACCCAAAGGAGAGAGGAGGCCCCAGACCCAACAGGACCCAGAGGAGAGAGGAGGCCCCAGACCCAACAGGACCCAGAGGAGAGAGGAGGCCTCAGACCCAACAGGACCCAGAGGAGAGAGGAGGCCTCAGACCCAACAGGACCCAGAGGAGAGAGGAGGCCCCAGACCCAACAGGACCCAGAGGAGAGAGGAGGCCCCAGACCCAACAGGACCCAGAGGAGAGAGGAGGCCTCAGACCCGACAGGACCCAAAGGAGAGAGGAGGCCCCAGACTTCCACTAGGTCCGACCCCTGCTCCCGGTGCAGAGGCTCCTCCAGAGGATTAAAACAACACAGTAAAATATCTAAGCGTAAAGACCTGAATGTAAATAAATAAAATACATAATTTATTGTAGAATATTCAACATTGAGAATGTTACCTGTTTTCCCCGATTAAAAAGTAGTCTCTGTCTGCTGCTCGGAGGTAAAGCACACAGGACGGAGAGCACTTCAAACTCTTCTGGACCCAGCTCCATTTAGCGTGTGTTTGTGGACTCACCTTAAGGAGCGAAATACTGAATCCAAAACAGAATAAATTTAGATTACAGAAACATAAAAAATATGTGTCTGAATATGAAAATGTGTACTGAGACAGGTCGATTCCTCCCAGGGGCCGGTCCTTCTCCTCTGGACATCGGAAGTACTTGAGCTGATGATCGTGATTATTAATTTCGAATAAAATAAAATAACGCTTCTTCCATGATCTCTGCACAAACGAGAAATATGTGTAAACAATGCCAGCTTCCTGTGTGTCTGAAAGAGCAGATGTTTCACCTCCGTCGTCAGGCTTCTGGAAGGAGGAGACTTGAACAAATATCCACATCTGATTTCCTTGGCCTCTCCTGCGGGTTTGTAGAACATGGCTCCTTTACCTGAGAACACAACATTAGGAATTATACTAAAATAACTTCATAATTATAATAAAAGACTTCCTTTCAATGGGACGTACCTATGCTCTTCTGGCTCTTACTCATCGCGCCGTCGCACCTACAACAAAAGAGTTTTAATTATGTGTTTTGTTAAGTTCAGGTCTGACTTTAGAACTGAAACATAAACTAATTTAACCAGACTTTTAACGGGAGGTGAGAGAGAGTAGTAACAAACTGGGAAAGGTTGTAAATGTGTTTTTATGATGCTATTGTCGTCATATCAACTATAAGTCTCGAATAAGTCATTTATTTAGATACCTTCATATTATTAAAAAAATAAAAATAAATGAAACCCACTTATTTTTTTCGGCCCCTGACCGGCCCTTTCTTTTTTTGTTGGCCCTCAACCAAAATAAGTTTGACACCCCTGCCATAGACTATAGTGCAGTCTAGTTCAGAGTATGTAAACAAATGCATACATTACATTATCAACACATTTCTAAAGTCTATCGTTGTTCTTCTTTAGCGCCTTCCTGGGTTTGAACGGTAAAAACTGTGATGATTCTCACCTGAGCAGCGTCACTTCACAGTCGGAGAATAACTTCTGGTCTGCGCAGAAACCTTCCTCAATCTGTACAAGGGAATCCTTGTTTGGAACCTGAGTTTCTGGTTTCTGCTTGAGCTGTTTTGAGGCCGTGATTGGTTCTTTTGTCGGCACAGATCCACGTGGGTTTGTTCATCTGCTCGATACAGACACATGAAGGAAATACGTCATATCTATCCAGAAAACTAACCACAGACAATAAAAGTGTGTGTGTGTGTCTGTAAGTGTGTGTGTGTAAGTGTGAGAATGTGTGTGTGCCTGTGTATGTGTGTATCTGTATGTGTGTGTGTGTGTGTGTTCAGTATAGGAATGTATGTATTTAGAGAAAGTGAAAAATTTGTGTTTTTTTTTTATAACTTGTGGTAAATTAAATTATAATTTCTTTCTGATAAATGTTGGTCATGTTTCCATCTACTATTGTTTTATTGTTTTACAACCACCTGCTCTGGGACCACAGCTGTATCGTACCATATTGTATCGTATTGTTCCTTATATTGTATCAAATCATATCGTACCGTATTGTATTGTATGGTGTGTGTAGTATCATATCGTACCGTATTGTATCGTGTGTGTAGTATCATATCATACCGTATTGTATTGTATGGTGTGTGTAGTATCATATTGTACCGTATTGTATCGTGTGTGTAGTATCATATCATACCGTATTGTATTGTATCGTGTGTGAAGTATCATATCGTAACGTATTGTATCGTGTGTGAAGTATCATATCGTACCGTACTGTATCGTGTGTGAAGTATCATATCGTACCGTACTGTATCGTGTGTGAAGTATCATATCGTAATGCATTGTATCGTGTGTGTGTAGTATCATATCGTAATGCATTGTATCGTGTGTGTAGTATCATATCGTAATGCATTGTATCGTGTGTGAAGTATCATATCGTACCGTACTGTATCGTGTGTGAAGTATCATATCGTACCGTACTGTATCGTGTGTGAAGTATCATATCGTAACATATTGTATCGTGTGTGTAGTATCATATCGTAATGCATTGTATCGTGTGTGTGTAGTATCATATCGTAACGTATTGTATTGTGTGTGTAGTATCATATCGTAATGCATTGTATCGTGTGTGTGTAGTATCATATCGTACCGTATTGTATTGTGTGTGTAGTATCATATTGTACCGTATTGTATTGTGTATATCGTATCATATTGTACCGTATTGTATCGTGTGTGAAGTATCATATCGTAACGTACTGTATCGTGTATGAAGTATCATATCGTACCGTACTGTATCGTGTGTGTAGTATCATATCGTACCGTATTGTATCGTGTGTGAAGTATCATATTGTACCGTACTGTATCGTGTGTGAAGTATCATATCGTAACGTATTGTATCGTGTGTGAAGTATCATATCGTACCGTACTGTATCGTGTGTGAAGTATCATATCGTACCGTATTGTATCGTGTGTGAAGTATCATATCGTACCGTATTGTATCGTGTGTGAAGTATCATATCGTACCGTACTGTATCGTGTGTGAAGTATCATATCGTGCCGTGTTGTATCGTGTGTGAAGTATCATATCGTACCGTACTGTATCGTGTGTGAAGTATCATATCATACCGTACTGTATCGTGTGTGTAGTATCATATCGTACCGTACTGTATCGTGTGTGAAGTATCATATCGTAATGCATTGTATCGTGTGTGAAGTATCATATCGTACCGTACTGTATCGTGTGTGAAGTATCATATCGTACCGTACTGTATCGTGTGTGAAGTATCATATCGTACCGTACTGTATCGTGTGTGTAGTATCATATCGTACCGTACTGTATCGTGTGTGAAGTATCATATTGTACCGTACTGTATCGTGTGTGAAGTATCATATCGTACCGTATTGTATCGTGTGTGAAGTATCATATCGTACCGTACTGTATCGTGTGTGAAGTATCATATCGTAACGTACTGTATCGTGTGTGAAGTATCATATCGTACCGTACTGTATCGTGTGTGAAGTATCATATCGTACCGTACTGTATCGTGTGTGAAGTATCATATCGTACCGTACTGTATCGTGTGTGAAGTATCATATCGTACCGTATTGTATCGTGTGTGAAGTATCATATCGTACCGTACTGTATCGTGTGTGAAGTATCATATCGTAGTGTACTGTATCGTGTGTGAAGTATCATATCGTATTGAAGCACAGCTCTGGGGTGAGGCTACATAAAGAAGCCATTCTCGAGTCCTTCAGGATCCGATACTGAACAAGGACAAAGAACTTAATTTCTAATCATGAAAAACGCTGTTGTTGTCGTCGAGTAAACAAGTAAAACATTTATTATAAAATGTAGTTTTATAAATGATCTTCCAAATGGACCCGTTGGCCTGAGCTCTCTGTGTTTTAAGGAGGTTGTACAGAAGCTTCCGGAACACGACAGGAGTTTATGGATTTTCCGCCCAAAGGGAAAAGGAAAAGTGTCCATTGTAGACGTAGAAAGGAAATGTTTCTGTTTTGACGTTTAAAGAATCGACAATAACAATGACACTAGTTTCATTCAGAACTTCTGTGTGATCGATTTTTGTTCTTATTTTGTTTCTGTTTTAATTTAAATGATGTATGGTCCATATTTTGTTTGTGTATATAAAAAACACATAACATTAAGTGAACATAATTTAAATTGATCTTATAACATGAATAGAGTTTATTGTGTGTAAACTGGCAGTGGGTTAAATGTCCCATTTACTGAACGTATAGACATTTATACAACATTTATGCAAAGTCAAATATATCAGAGCCCAAAAAACATTTGTTAAAAGCTGAGGGTCGGACGGGTTCAAGATTTTTGAAAACATTAAAATGATACATAAAACCTGTTGAACCCAGACCTAACACAGTGGACCGTTTTTTATTCAAGGATTAAATGACTATTTTCCCATATTTTCGTTAACCTCACCTGCAAGCTTAATTCTCGCGGTATTTGTGAGTTCACAAACACTGGAGAATACATCTTGTCCCGCTCCCGCCAACCCTTTTCGAGTAGAACATCTCGGTGTTCAAGCCAATCACGCGCCAGTCTGGGGGTTTAGGGCGGGATATCCGGGTTTGACGAAAGCAAGAAGTGCCGGGCCGAAGCAAAACAAACATGGCTACGCAGGAGGACGGACGTGTAGCTGAGGCTATCAAGTCAGTTTTAGCAGAATCTCCAATTTTTTTTTTGAAACAGCGAGAGGCGCTTTGTGCATTTCTGGACGACAAAGATGTTTGTGCATTTTTACCTACGGGTTTAAGTCAAACCTTGGTAGGCGGGCACACAGCGTCACTTCGCCCAATCAGCTTGAAGTATTCTGCTGCTTATCCCTCCTTTCCCCGAAAGGATTCTCCTGCAGAAGTCCCAGATTGATACTGTGGAGAACGCATTAGAGTTCTACACAATCCTCAATCTGGCTCTTGCCAGGTTATATTTTTGTGGCTCTGTCATTTCAAGTGATTTTTTTTTTTCCAGCAGACTCAAAAACAAACGTCCTTCAAAGAGAAAACACACGTCCTGAACATTAAATAAATAATCCAGTTCTTATGTCCCTGTGCGGCCGGTTCTAAAACTAATCAAATATCATCCCGGGGCCAATGTCATTGACTCGCGGGCCGCTTCTGGCCCCCGGGCCTTGACTGTGACTCCCCTGCTTTAGGGCATGCGACTGACCCAATACTTACAAAACAAGAGGCGATCTTTTGTCTCATGTTTATTTATTGCAGATGGAGGAGTTTGTGTGCGACAGAAAACAGAATTACAGAATAAATCCAGTTCATAACGATGTGAACATGCCCCAGAAAAAGGGGCTAATTTATTGGAAGTATTTCATACATCACTTTTCAAGTCATTAAAATATTTTCCTGAGGACAAAAGCATCCAACACCAAAAAGCATCAAAAGTTCCTTTCCAAAGCCAAACGTACCTTCTTTCAAAGCATTCCCAAACAAGTGAATAACACCTTAGTCCAGCGCAGGCCACGGAGGAGCAGACAGAGAAGGACTAAAGTCAGTGACTGAACGATAATGTTGTTTCACACATAGCTGCCTGCGTCACACACACGACGTCACAATAGTTTCTGAGTCCCTTAAAGTGAAGAACTTTCCTGATATTGTTTAATGACTAGATGAGTTTTATGACTTCTTTGTTACCAAAAGTACAACACTAATATAAACTCTCTGCTGGATCCAGGTGACACTTACAACTCTTTTAAAGGTTAAAGTTCATGATACATGCATATTTGTGAGAACACAAATATTTCATTACTTTCAATAGTACTGCACACAAAGTATTCACATATGGAGCCTAAAGATGCCAGCACAGAGAGAATGTCCAAAACAGCAAAATGAAAATATTTTTGTGAGGCGTCTTTTATGTATTTATTTAATGAAAATGATCTGATCCATTTTCAAAAAATATTCTTTCCACAGTTCATCAGAACAGTCCATAGTTTCACTTCATTGGGCTGTGTACAAATACACACGTGTGTACAAATACACACGCGTGTACAAATACACACGTGTGTACAAATGCACAAGCGTGTACAAATGCACAAGCGTGTACAAATGCACAAGCGTGTACAAATGCACAAGTGTGTACAAATACACAAGTGTGTACAAATACACAACCGTGTACAAATACACAAGTGTGTACAAATACACAACCGTGTACAAATACACACGCATGTACAAATGCACAAGCGTGTAAAAATACACAAGTGTGTACAAATACACAAGCGTGTAAAAATACACAAGTGTGTACAAATACACAAGAGTGTACAAACACACACGCGTGTACAAATGCACACGTGTGTACAAATACACAAGTGTGTACAAATACACACGTGTGTACAAATACACACGTGTGTACAAATACACACGTGTGTACAAATACACACGTGTGTACAAATACACAAGCGTGTACAAATACACAAGCGTGTACAAATACACAAGCTAGAGCTGGGCGATATGGCAAAAAAGTAAAATCTCGATTTTATTTCCTGCTTTGGACGATGTCGATTTTAAATCGATTTTCATTAAAGTCACTCAAGACAGACTTTGCCCTTAAAATATTTTGTATCTTCCCGCTCAATATTTAAGTTTAAAAACTATTTTTTTATTTGTTTCCCCCAATACATATTATAAAAGTCTTGTACAGACTGTGCTGATATCGCAAGTATAATTGATGTGCTGCTGGAACTCTCACAATATCCCTCATTCGATTTCACGATTTTCACATTTTTCACGAATTCGATTTTTCAAAAGCCGATTAATTGCCAAAATTCGATTTATTGCCCAGCCCTAACACAAGCGTGTAAAAATACACACGTGTGTACAAATACACAAGCGTGTACAAATACACAAGCGTGTACAAATACACAAGCGTGTACAAATACACAAGTGTGTACAAATACACACGTGTGTACAAATACACACGTGTGTACAAATACACACGTGTGTACAAATACACAAGCGTGTACAAATACACACGCGTGTACAAATACACACGTGTGTACAAATACACACGTGTGTACAAATACACACGTGTGTACAAATACACAAGCGTGTACAAATACACACGCGTGTACAAATACACACGCGTGTACAAATACACACACGTGTACAAATACACACGTGTGTACAAATACAGAAGCATGTACAAATACACACGCGTGTACAAATACACACGCGTGTACAAATACACACGCGTGTACAAATACACACGTGTGTACAAATACACACGCGTGTACAAATACACACGCGTGTACAAATACACACGCGTGTACAAATACACACGCGTGTACAAATACCCACGTGTGTACAAATACACACGCGTGTACAAATACACAAGCGTGTACAAATACACAAGTGTGTACAAATACACAAGTGTGTACAAATACACACGCGTGTACAAATACACACGCGTGTACAAATACACACGCGTGTACAAATACACACGTGTGTACAAATACACACGCGTGTACAAATACACAAGCGTGTACAAATACACAAGTGTGTACATGTACACAAGTGTGTACAAATGCACAAGTGTGTACAAATACACAACCGTGTACAAATACACGTGTGTGCATGTACACATGTGTGTATAGTGCTGGTCTTGAGTGTACTGCAGACATACAAGGAAAATGGAGAGACACATTTCCATGTATATGGTTCCAGACCCAGCTCGTGGGTCGGACAGCGACACTGATATGACAGAACCCACTGATGATTCTTTTATCAAGTGTGAATTTAGGCCCAAGTTCACAATAAAAACATTCTGTGCAACATTCTGCTGGGCCTGAAACATCCCTGAATGCTTTAACCCCGAGGCCCATGTCATGTCTGCGACTCAAAGGTCAGTTAAAATACAGTTCTTTGGTGAGCATGGAGACCACACACGGGATCTGCTTCTTCTCACTGAAGCGCGGGTCTTCAGACCAAGACTCAAAGCTTGTGGCCACCATGTAGTTTACTCGAGTCAGAATCTGCATAATCTCCAGCTGCTTCCCAAACTCGTTCAGGACGTTACAGAGAGCCTGGACGAACCAGGAGCCACGGCCAGGGTTCCTCCAGGAGTAGTATCCTGAAAAGCAATGTCAATAAAGTTTACTTGAACCATGAGAGAGAAGAGTGTCCACAGACGGAGCTGTACCTGGCACAGTCGAGTACGCAAAAAGGAAGTCAGCTTCTACTGGGATCTTATGTCTTGGGTTAGCATCAGTCTCCAGAGTGTCATTAGGCGGACCTGAATCTGTTTGAATACCATCATCAAACTCCGATCCCCGACAAGCCTGGTGAAGTAAATGAAATGACATTTCATTGTGATCCTGAGTAGCTTTCTCAACGATGACCTGGTGAAGCAATTAGAACTGCTTTTAAAAGCTGAGATAAGAACTATGAACTGTCTGACCCTGAGCTACATGTGTCTGAAGTGTCACAGCTGAAGTGGGATCTCACCTGAATGAAGAAGAGCTTGGGTTTTCCCACTAAGCTTTTACACATGTCGCCCCTGAACAGTGAGGTCATGGTCTTGATCGGCATCGCTCCGTCCGTCCCATAAATCATTCCCTCTTCACCGTGACTGAGCAGGATGCAGGCGAAACACGAGCTGTCGCTGTGGTCCTCTTCTGAAGCTACACACACAAGACACATCTGCACTTAGCTTAGCACTTAGCTTAGCACTTAGCTTAGCACTTAGCTTAGCACTTAGCTTAGCACTTAACATTTGCATTTATATAAGACCTTTACATTTATATCAAACCTGAGAACAATGATAGCAATACTGACTTTTAACCGATTCCGTACCGATTTAGATTTACAGATGTTAAAGAAGTTAATATTTTGATTCATCTTGAACTGAAAAGACTGGAGACAAAAATGGAAGAGTCGATTCTAGTCCTTTATCAATATTTCATCCAAATATTCACAAATTGAGACAAAGGAAAAGATTGGAATGCTGAGGCATTGGCCCCCTGAGTATAAAATATATATATTATATATAATATAATTTATGAAATGATGTATAAACGGGTGGTTACACATCAGCACGAGTTAGTTTGAACATTCACAGTTCATAAATGTCAGTCAAGACAGTTTTTCAGTCCGGGACGTCGGCCCCTGGACTAGTCTGGTGAACTAAAGGTGAACCCTCTATCTAAAAAGTTTGGACACCCCTGGTACAGATCTAACCTTCTCTGAGGAGACGCTCCATCTTCTCACACGTCTGGTCGTTGTAGATGAAGACGTCGAATCCCAGGTTCTTAAAGCATTTGAACAATTCTCCTGCGTCTCGATCGGTCCCATTGCGAACATTCATCCCTGAAGTGGACCAGAAATACAACGTTTAAAAATCATTTAAAAAAACATAATCTAAGAAAAGGACTCTGAAAAAGGACGTACCTGTTTTCTCATCAAAGTTTTTGTTGTTGATGATGATGCACTTCCCCACTCGCTGGTGGCTCATCTTATACTGGAATGTAGGTGAAACAATTCTGTAATGGCTTTCAGAATTTTGGTCCTGCTCCCGCATCTGGCCATCCTTGTTTTTCTTACTGGAAAGAGCAGAACACAGAACCTTAGATTATGAAACACATCACAAAAACTAAGGCCATTATAACTCCAAGAAAAAATACTATAATAATAATATAATATATAGATTATATATAATAATCTATAATACTGAAAGAGATAATAAGATGCTACATGCTTTTAGAATACAAGATTTACGTTAAAAAGTAAATTTTCTACAGCCTAGTCCCCACACACCTGTCATATTTCCATTCTCGAAAAGATCTATCCACAAACACAAGCCAACAGTGGCCCATAGGAAGCTGAAAAAACCCCAGGCCTGTTCCAGAAGAGCCTGGTCCTCTGCATCCTCCAGTCAGAACAAACAATACTGCAGGACCAACACTAGGAGGTCACAGCCTATTCAAACCCACATGTGATCCAGAACTTTGTCACCCCCTCCCCTCTGGAAACAGCATGAGGGAGGGCTGCGAGCTGCATCTGTTCTGCTGTGGACCCAACACTGCAGGAAGACAGGAAGAGGAGAAAGGCTGAGGGTGAATCTTACCTGGAGTCGTCATTAATCGCTACGCCACTCTGCATCTGAAAGAGGGTTTCTGCTTTTGCTGATGTAGTGTTGGTCCACACTGTCTGGGCTGCGTGCTAGGATACTGACATGCTCTCTGTACTGGAGGGAGACCGGACTGGGACGCTGGATGCTGTGGAGGGGGGCGGCGCACTGTGAGGCCCCTGAGTCAGCAGCCTTGCCCTCTCACCAGTGCTTTCTAAAGCCCTATTGAACTTAGGGCCTGTACCTCACGGCTGAGGTCAAACAGGGCATGAAGCTGTCCCTGTGCTGACAAATACAGAATACACCAAACCCAAAGGTCATAACCGCAGTAACCTTTGAGTGCAGCAAAAAACGTCCAAACTCCAGTTAAGATTTGCAAAAATAAGACACATTTATAAATAAGGAAAGGGTCCCAAAAACAAAAGACAAAGGATATAAAACAGGTGATTTTCAAAGGCTACGGCCCATTATCAGCTTATGTTCAGTAGTTTGCACAGCTCTACACTGCCCCCTTGTGTGAGAACTTAAGTACAACACACAGGTCTCATAAGGACAGTCACTAAACGTCTTTGTTTTTGCATTGTTTGTTTAGTTCTTTCTTTATTTACAGGTGCCTTCAGTTTCAAGTCTCAAGTGAAGCAAGTGGATTTGTGGAGGTTTGAAACATCCAAAAACATGCACTCTGGCCCTGACTTCATGAGGACTATGGTCCAGTTAAAGGGAACTCCAGGATTGACTGTGAACTTGATATAAAAATACAACTTGATGGTATTCAACTGACAGCCCCCCCCTTTGTTTGGAACTTAAACAAAAGGGGAAAGGATGTAGACAGAGATATATTGAGTCACAACAGGTCGACAACAATAATCTTAAATTCAGGATGATCAAAAAATGGTTAATGACAGCTAAAATATGTACCGTAATCCATCCATAAATAAACGTAGCGTTATGTAAAAAATCTAAATTTTTGTATAGATATAATGTAATATATTCCCACTCCTTTTTGAGCATCCATAGGTGTTATGTGTAATTACTGTTTTTGTTATATTTTGTAAATGTCCCTACGTTGCTTGTGATTAATCATTACTAATTATTGCCCACTTACTTGCTTTAATTAAATAAATGTATATGTAGTGTAGTAAAGCAATTCAGTGGTAATAAGACTGTTATAACAGGTGGTTCTCTGCACAAAACACTTTTTATGAGGCAAAAAACCCCAAATAATAGAACAAACGTGTCCAATAATAACAGCAGCGGTAGTGACATGCATTCGGATCACCTTCCAAACAGCAGAAACCTCCCTCTGCGGTCAGGTCTGGCATCTGTCTGGTCTGATGCTTCAGCTCCAGGTGCATCAGGCTCAGCAGGCTCCCCAGACATCTGTAGAACACCAGGAAATTATCATAAAAACACTTTAATGATATAAAACACTAAATTCTGAGACGTCTATTGTCATTTTAAAGTTGCTCAATTAATAATATTTTAGTACAGCGCTGACAACGTAAAGTAATAGCAAACTCAAACTTAAACTTGTGTAGTAGCATCTGAGTTAGCATCATAAACTATTAGCACGTGATTAACTAAAGCTAGCTAACACATTATTTCTCCATTTCATCCACGTCACGTCATTTATTTACGCAGGACGTGGTCAGACGTCATGTAAACACACAGTAACAGTATCAGCAAACTGTACCTTGGTCAGAGTTTCTGTTCCTCTAAAGTTGTGAAGTCGAAAGTTTGTCTGATCTGTGATGTGGAAATCTGAGGGCTGCGTGCTGACGTCATCACCGTGCGTAAGGTGCGCGTGAGGAGCAAGGTGGAGATAAGCAAACAACTAGAACTGATTATTTAGCAAATAAACCACTCATTTGTGGAAAATACTAATGATTTAGCAAATAAACTACAGTCAACTTAGTAATAAAGTGAGAAATGGTTAATAGAAATGTGTTTTTAGTTCACGATGCTAATGCTGCGAGTTTTACACAGTTTCATCTATTCGCTATTTTAATGTGTCTTATCTAAGAATTGTTAGTGTTTTTTAATGTGTGTGTGTGTGTGTGTGTGTGTGTGTGTGTGTGTGTGTGTGTGTGTCTATTAACCAACGTTGGTGTTCATTGGAATCCTCCCTGACCAAGGTATGCTAAACCTTAGTGCTAGTCTAAATTATTATAATTTAATGTATTTATGTATATCCACAAGAAAGAAACAATTTCAAACATTGAAGTGTGTAGGTGTGGTTGTGTGTCTGTATGTGTGTGTCTGTGTGCGTGTGTGTTTGTGCGTTTATAAATATGTCTAAAGTGATAAAAAACACAGCTATTATCAAATATCATGTGATTTGTCATTTGTTTTGTTATATGACATTGAACTCCATATTAAATGATTTGGCTTAAAACTATATAAAAACCATATATATTTAAAAACTATATATATCTCTGCCACTGTAATGACATAATGATGACTTTAACACACGTTCAGACTCTGTGTCACTGTCTTTTCTCTCCTGTGACCTGCTCCTTCTGCCCCTCTGCAGCTGCTGCCCTGAGTCGGTCCCTAAAAGCCCACAGGGGGTTGGTCCATCGTGGGACATGTGTCTAAGTAAGAGACACTTCCACCGCTTCAGAGTCACAGCTAAGTTTACCACGACCGGCGACACTCTATCCACTCACCCTGAGAGCCTGCAGCTTCTCCAGCAGCTTCTGTTTTGGTATTTCTCTAACATTATTTGGATCGTTTTCCAGAGGACGTCAGGATGCAGTCGTGTGCCAGGTGTGGGTTTGTGGTTTACCCAGCGGAGAAGATCAACTGCATCGACCAGGTAACACGACACATGATTGTTCTGTCTTTTAAATGTCACATACAAACCCTTTTGTCATTGCTAGATACGATCATGTTACTCCCGGATGCTGACAGGGTTTGGGTTTTTTTAAATCCTTTTTTTCCAAATCGTTACTATTAATTATTAGTATATTTTTATTATTTTTTCAATGATTTCTTCTTTGTTTTAATTTGTTTTTTTTCTTTAATTTTGGGCCTGAACAGGGGTGTGTTAGTGGGTGGGGGTAGGAGGCACTCAATATTGTCTGTTATTTGTTATCAATAAATGAATAAAGGAAGTTAGATTTTAACATACACAATGATCAAAACTGGGAGACTTTTCTAATTATATTCCATGGACTGTATCCCTGTAAAGTAGTAAATGCGCTTTAACAACACTATAAATATGAGTTTAGAGTCTGGCTGAAGATTTACACGTCACATTAATCTCTGCAACTAATAATTTTAACTTTTCACAGAACTGGCACAAAGCATGTTTCCACTGTGACGTTTGTAAAATGGTGCTGACGGCAAACAACTTTGTCAGTCACAAGAAGAGGCCATACTGCTCTGTGTAAGTTCACGTTCTACAAAGTCTGATTTCAGAGAGTGAGAAAAACACAGTGTATGTAAGCGTCTGGGTTCTACTGTCCGCAACATTACATAATTATTATTTTTTTATGTTATGTTTTCCTAAAGACACAATCCAAGAAACAACACATTCACCAGCGTCTATGAAACTCCGGTGAACATCAACGCCAAGAAGCAGAGTATGGCCAGCAGTGAGGTGAGAACCACATCCAGTATGAAAGAAAACAAAACAATATGATAGAGTTTGGACAAAGGGGCTCTCATCACATTCTGTAAAATCACTGTGAAGAAGAAATATTGTACGGTTACAGATTGGCAACAAGTACAAAGCTTTAAAACGTCAGTCATTCAGTACAAAGCATGTTCCGTGTCTGACCCAAAAGATCGAACTGTCATTTCACAAGCGGGAAATCTCTGAGTCTGTGGTGACAGCAGCGGTGAGGAATGGAGAGTGGAGCTTAAGGTTATTTCTGGATTTGTGACAGAGCTCCAGAACGACTCTCTCGGCCCTCGCTCAGTCCACGTTACGCTTCTGGACGTCTAAAATTAAACAGGAGGAGAGAACGGCCCCACGTCTCTCCCTCTGCTCTGGCTGCAGCACCTGTCTGTGTCTGTCTGTGTCTGTCTGTGTCTGCGTCTGCGGGTTCAGGCCAAGCCTATGTCAGGAGCTCTTCTTCTACTGCCGCACGCCTCCAGGAGATCAAAGGCTGTACGCACTGCTACATGAGCTGCGTTTGATTAAGTTGGACTGAGAGATTTTTGAGCCCGTTTTACAAAGATTATAAAGCTCTAGTTTTCATGAGTTCTTTAAACATTTAATGGTATGCAAAAGTATTCAATACTGCTGCTAATGGATTTTGGGATTTTGGGACGACGGTGGCTCAGTTGGTAGAGCATTGGCCTTGGTTCAGGCCCAGCCCTGGTGATCCAAGATGGCGCCGTATTCACATGAATGGTTTGTGCTCAGTGGCGCATGTGCCGGCACGGGCGCCGACATATTAGCTGAACTCGCCCATATTTGGGCATTGTCTGGTCCTCCCGGTTCTGTGCAGTGGACGAGCTCCCATGATGCTTTGCGCCAAATACGCGAGTGTGGGTCAGAAATGGATTAAAGGGGCGAAGATGGATGGATTTTTGAGTTTGAGTTCATTGTACATCAACAAATGTCACTACATGGAAGTTTCTATAATTGTTATGTTTTCCAACAATTATAATATTGTACTTGATTCAAACATGAAAAGGACTGGGAGGAGGTTTAATACAGGGCTCTCCAACCTTTTTCAATCAGAGAGCTACTTTTATGCAACAAAAGAGGCAGAGAGCTACTACTAGCTTTTGCAGTCATAGTATAAAATCCATGTGATAATTATGACACATAAATATACCATAATACTGTAAAACCCTATATTTATACCTATAATAGATATGTAACAACTGAAAATGTATTCATTCAAGATCAGTTGGTAAAGTCTAAATCCTTTGGGGAGCTACCTGAAAGAGGCTGGCGAGCTACAGGTTGGACACTCCTGGTTCAATTTATTTGTCCTTAATAACACAAGACTGTTATTCACTGGGAAATATCAAGCAGTGGTTTGAAAAGTGGACAAAAGAAAGGTTTCCGGCTTATCCCGACACAGCAGGGCTAGTTCAAAGGTTGTGTGTGTGCGTCTGTGTGTGCGTCTGTGTGTGTGTCCATGTGTGTGTGCATGTGTGTGTGTTGGCCTTGGCTTAACGCTTTCATCTATGTGCACTTGTAGCTGAAGTACCGTGAAGATGGCGAGCGCTTTATGTCCACCTTCCACCAGGACATGAAGCTGGAGAGGGCCCGACATGTCAATCAAACGGCCAGCCAGGTGAGCTCCGGCAGAGCTCTCTAACCCGGACTAACAAAGATCCCAGTCTCACAGAGCTCTCTAACCCGGACTAACAAAGATCCCAGTCTCACAGAGCTCTCTAACCCGGACTAACAAAGATCCCAGTCTCACAGAGCTCTCTAACCCGGACTAACAAAGATCCCAGTCTCACAGAGCTCTCTAACCCGGACTAACAAAGATCCCAGTCTCACAGAGCTCTCTAACCCGGACTAACAAAGATCCCAGTCTCACAGAGCTCTCTAACCCGGACTAACAAAGATCCCAGTCTCACAGAGCTCTCTAACCCGGACTAACAAAGATCCCAGTCTCACAGAGCTCTCTAACCCGGACTAACAAAGATCCCAGTCTCACAGAGCTCTCTAACCCGGACTAACAAAGATCCCAGTCTCACAGAGCTCTCTAACCCGGACTAACAAAGATCCCAGTCTCACAGAGCTCTCTAACCCGGACTAACAAAGATCCCAGTCTCACAGAGCTCTCTAACCCGGACTAACAAAGATCCCAGTCTCACAGAGCTCTCTAACCCGGACTAACAAAGATCCCAGTCTCACAGAGCTCTCTAACCCGGACTAACAAAGATCCCAGTCTCACAGAGCTCTCTAACCCGGACTAACAAAGATCCCAGTCTCACAAAGTCACTAAACTTTTATCAGGCAAATAGAGTCGGTAGAAAAACGTGTGATGTATATTCTGCTAAACATGAATGTGTGACCATAGCATGTGTCACTACAGGTGTTTCAGTCCAGGTCTGAGCAGCAGCAGCAGCAGCAGCAGCAGCAGCAGCAGCAGCAGCAGCAGCAGCAGCAGCAGCAGCAGCAGCAGCAGCAGCAGCAGCAGCAGCAGCAGCAGCAGCAGCAGCAGCAGCAGCAGCAGTGGGAGTCAGGGACAGTCAGCAGTCACCACATTATTAGTATGTCTCAAGCCCAGAAGAATATCAGTGAAGTAAGTGTACTGCTATTATGTATTAGTATGTGTGTCATATTTATATACTGTGAAATCAAATGTAAAACGTTTTGTCTTCTAATGTTTCAGGCTTAGAAAGTTGTTTTTAATAAGACAAAAAAGTAAAGAAAGCTAGTTCTGCTTAATTACCACTTGTCTAGACTTCTTCTTCATCAGAGACAGTGATGGTGTGACTCTGTTCACAGCATGGACTGGAACAGAAGAAGATAAATACAAAAGATGGCTATGAGGGCAATGGAAATCAGGAAGCGGGGAACACAGACCATCAACAGAGCCGAGGGGGTCTACACCTTGGTTCACACTTGGGAATCACTTCTCCAGAGAACTCAGGAGGGCGTGGTCAGTCTGAGGGGGCGTGGTCAGTCTGATGGGGTGTGGTCAGTCTGAGGGGGTGTGGTCAGTCTGAGGGGAAGTGGTCTGTCTGAGGGGAAGTGGTCAGTCTGAGGGGAAGTGGTCAGTCTGATGGGGTGTGGTCAGTCTGAGGGGGTGTGGTCAGTCTGAGGGGGTGTGGTCAGTCTGAGGGGAAGTGGTCAGTCTGAGGGGGTGTGGTCAGTCTGAGGGGAAGTGGTCAGTCTGAGGGGAAGTGGTCAGTAGGAGGGGGTGTGGTCAGTCTGAGGGGGCGTGGTCAGTCTGAGGGGAAGTGGTGAGTCTGAGGGGGCGTGGTCAGTCTGAGGGGAAGTGGTCAGTCTGAGGGGAAGTGGTCAGTCTGAGGGGGTGTGGTCAGTCTGAGGGGGCGTGGTCAGTCTGATGGGGTGTGGTCAGTCTGAGGGGGTGTGGTCAGTCTGAGGGGAAGTGGTCAGTCTGAGGGGGTGTGGTCAGTCTGATGGGGTGTGGTCAGTCTGAGGGGGTGTGATCAGTCTGATGGGGTGTGGTCAGTCTGAGGGGGTGTGGTCAGTCTGAGGGGAAGTGGTCAGTCTGAGGGGGTGTGGTCAGTCTGAGGGGAAGTGGTCAGTCTGAGGGGACGTGGTCAGTCTGAGGGGAAGTGGTCAGTCTGAGGGGGTGTGGTCAGTCTGATGGGGTGTGGTCAGTCTGAGGGGGTGTGGTCAGTCTGAGGGGAAGTGGTCAGTCTGAGGGGGTGTGGTCAGTCTGATGGGGTGTGGTCAGTCTGAGGAGACGTGGTCTGTCTGAGGGTAAGTGGTCAGTCTGAGGGGAAGTGGTCAGTCTGAGGAGACGTGGTCTGTCTGAGGGTAAGTGGTCAGTCTGAGGGGAAGTGGTCAGTCTGAGGGGGTGTGGTCAGTCTGAGGGGGCGTGGTCAGTCTGATGGGGTGTGGTCAGTCTGAGGGGGTGTGGTCAGTCTGAGGGGAAGTGGTCAGTCTGAGAGGGTGTGGTCAGTCTGATGGGGTGTGGTCAGTCTGAGGGGGTGTGGTCAGTCTGAGGGGAAGTGGTCAGTCTGAGGGGAAGTGGTCAGTCTGAGGGGAAGTGGTCAGTCTGAGGGGGCGTGGTCAGTCTGAGGGGGCGTGGTCAGTCTGAGGGGGTGTGGTCAGTCTGAGGGGGTGTGATCAGTCTGAGGGGAAGTGGTCAGTCTGAGGGGGTGTGGTCAGTCTGAGGGGGCGTGGTCAGTCTGATGGGGTGTGGTCAGTCTGAGGGGGTGTGGTCAGTCTGAGGGGAAGTGGTCAGTCTGAGGGGGTGTGGTCAGTCTGATGGGGTGTGGTCAGTCTGAGGGGGTGTGGTCAGTCTGAGGGGAAGTGGTCAGTCTGAGGGGAAGTGGTCAGTCTGAGGGGAAGTGGTCAGTCTGAGGGGGCGTGGTCAGTCTGAGGGGGCGTGGTCAGTCTGAGGGGGTGTGATCAGTCTGAGGGGAAGTGGTCAGTCTGAGGGGGCGTAGTCAGTCTGAGGAGACGTGGTCAGTCTGAGGGGAAGTGGTCAGTCTGAGGGGGTGTGGTCAGTCTGATGGGGTGTGGTCAGTCTGAGGGGGTGTGGTCAGTCTGAGGGGAAGTGGTCAGTCTGAGGAGACGTGGTCAGTCTGAGGAGACGTGGTCAGTCTGAGGAGACGTGGTCAGTCTGAGGGGGCGTGGTCAGATCTGTGAGACCTGACAGACTGACCACATCCAGCAACAACAGCTGAGCAGAGTCACACCATCACTGTCTCTGACGAAGGCAAAGTCTAAACATGTCGTAATTAAGCAAAACTAACTTTCTTTACTTTTTTGTCTTATTAAAATAACCGTCTAAGATTCTAAGACTGTGAAATCACTGCGAGCTTCTGTATCGTGTGTGTTTAAGGTGAAGTACACAGAGGAGTTTGAACAGTCCAAAGGAAAGGGCACCTTTCCTGCTCTGATCACACCAGGCTACCAGGCCGTGAAACAAGCTAGCACGTTAGCTAGTAATGTACGTTTACCTTTGAATTCATGTTTGGAGACTGGCTCATTGTTCGTTGAATGTAATGTCTGTTCTCTGCAGGTGGAATACAAGAAAGGACACGAAGAAAGAGTTTCAAAGTATACAACGTTTGTGGATTCTCCAGAGGTGCTCCTGGCAAAGAAACAAGGACAAATAGTCAGCGACGTAAGTTTTACCTTCATTTAAAGGAGCAGTGTGTAAACATGTGGCCAAAAGTGGTACTGCAGCCTCTCCCACTCTCCCTGACTCAGGTTGCCAGATATGCAGACGAATCCAGCTGGGACCATAACAGCTGAATAGACAAGAGTTTTGTCAACAACAAATCTATAACCAACACCTTTTTCACAAAGATAGAAATCCTGGTTTTATTCCTTGTTTTGTCGTTAATGATTTGAGAATCATAACGAGACCTTTTTTAGTTCTGCCCCACATGGTACTTTACCAGTGAGATTAGCTCCACGCGGTGAGTTCTGGCGCCCGGATCACAGACTTTCTGATTGGTGAAACGGTGGAGGGCGGGACATTGAAATGAAAACAATAACAATATTTAGGGGCTGGAAAAGTATATCTCAGAACTACTGTTATCAGTTAAAGAAGTATTGGAAAAGAGCAGTTTATTATTATGACAGATTAGGGCCCTTTAATGATGACAGATTAGGGCCCTTTAATAATGACAGATTAGGGCCCTTTAATGATGACAGATTAGGGCCCTTTAATGATGACTTGACATGAAAATCTTAGATATTGCTACTTTAATAATAAAATGAAATATAATTGATAAACATGTTTTTCTTTAGTACGCTTACACTGAAGAGTATGAGCAGCAGCGGGGGAAGGGCAGTTTCCCGGCTCATCTCACTCCAGGATACCAGATGTCGAAGAAGGCAACTGCACAGGCCAGCAATGTAACTATCCACCCCTGTTTACCGTCTCCACCGACTCCCACTGATGGTGTGTCCTTGTGCAAGACACTTAACCCCACTTTGCCTGAAGCCCCCGCTGAAAGACCGAGGCTGAGTCACTGACAGAGCAGCCTCCTGACAGGATTAGTGAGGGGACAAAGGGAAAGAATAATAATAATGTATTGGTTTTATACAGCGCTTTTTTGGACGCTTCACATCATTATTCATTCTCTCCAAACACAGTGGTGATAAACTACTGTAGCCACAGCTGCCCTGGGGCACACTGACAGAAGCGAGGCAACCAGTCTGTGCCATCTGCCCCTCCCACCACCACCAACCATTCACACACACACCAGACTCATTCTAATGTGGGGGAAGTGTCTTGCCTGAGGACACAATGGCATGGGTGGGTGGATGGGTGGGTGCCCTGGGTCCCTGGGTGGGTGGGTTTGTGGATTGATGGATGGAGAGATGGATGGATGGGTGGATGAATGGATGGATGGTTGGATGAAATGTTTTTAAGTATAATTTCCCGGTGCTTTTGTCTGGCAGATAAAGTACCGTCAAGCGTACGACCAGCAGATAAAGGGAACAGCCAGCACTGAGGCCGCGGCAGCAGAGGCAGCGTTAGTGCGAGAGAACGGAGAACGCCACAGTCAGGTGTGTACATCTGTGATGGAGAGAGTGACCTACAGAGAGTAACCTACAGAGAGAGACCTGCAGAGAGTGACCTGCAGAGAGTAACCTACAGAGAGTGACCTACAGAGAGTGACCTGCAGAGAGTGACCTACAGAGAGTGGCCTTTAGAGAGTGACCTGCAGAGAGTGACCTGCAAAGAGTGACCTACAGAGTGACCTACAGAGAGTGACCTTTAGAGAGTGACCTGCAGAGAGTGACATGCAAAGACTGACCTGCAAAGACTGACCTACAGAGTGACCTGCAAAGAGTGACCTGCAAAGAGTGACCTACAGAGTGACTTGCAGAGAGTGACCTGCAGAGAGTGACCTACAGAGAGTGACCTGCAGAGAGTGACCTGCAGAGAGTGACCTACAGAGAGTGACCTGCAGAGAGTGACCTACAGAGAGTGACCTACAGAGAGTGACCTGCAGAGAGTGACCTACAGAGAGTGACCTGCAGAGAGTGACCTGCAGAGAGTGACCTGCAGAGAGTGACCTACAGAGAGTGACCTGCAGAGAGTGACCTGCAGAGAGTGACCTGCAGAGAGTGACCTGCAGAGAGTGACCTACAGAGAGTGACCTACAGAGAGTGACCTGCAGAGAGTGACCTGCAGAGAGTGACCTACAGAGAGTGACCTGCAGAGAGTGACCTACAGAGAGTGACTGCAGAGAGTGACCTACAGAGAGTGACCTACAGAGAGTGACCTACAGAAAGTGACCTACAGAGAGTGACCTGCAGAGAGTGACCTACAGAGAGTGACCTGCAGAGAGTGACCTACAGAGAGTGACCTACAGAGAGTGACCTACAGAGAGTGACCTACAGAGAGTGACCTACAGAGAGTGACCTGCAGAGAGTGACCTACAGAGAGTGACCTGCAAAGAGTGACCTACAGAGTGACTTGCAGAGAGTGACCTGCAGAGAGTGACCTACAGAGAGTGACCTACAGAAAGTGACCTACAGAGAGTGACCTGCAGAGAGTGACCTACAGAGAGTGACCTGCAGAGAGTGACCTACAGAGAGTGACCTGCAGAGAGTGACCTACAGAGAGTGACCTGCAGAGAGTGACCTGCAGAGAGTGACCTACAGAGAGTGACCTGCAAAGAGTGACCTACAGAGAGTGACCTGCAGAGAGTGACCTACAGAGAGTGACCTGCAGAGAGTGACCTACAGAGAGTGACCTGCAAAGAGTGACCTACAGAGAGTGACTTGCAGAGAGTGACCTACAGAGAGTGACCTGCAGAGAGTGACCTACAGAGAGTGACCTGCAAAGAGTGACCTACAGAGAGTGACTTGCAGAGAGTGACCTACAGAGAGTGACCTGCAGAGAGTGACCTACAGAGAGTGACCTACAGAGAGTGACCTACAGAGAGTGACCTACAGAGAGTGACCTGCAGAGAGTGACCTACAGAGAGTGACCTACAGAGAGTGACCTACAGAGAGTGACCTGCAAAGAGTGACCTGCAAAGAGTGACCTACAGAGAGTGACCTACAGAGAGAGACCTACAAAGTGACCTACAGAAAGTGACCTACAGAGAGTGACCTACAGAGACCATCTTTCTGACTCTCCTCCAGATTGCTTACACCGAGGACTATGAACAGCAGCGAGGCAAAGGCAGCTTCCCCGCCATGATCACCCCTGGGTACCACCTCGCCAAAAAGGCTCAGGACAATGCAAGTGATGTGAGTAGCAATATTAAGTATTTATGTATTGTGTATGGGCAAACCAGGTGCACATGGTTTGATCCTACAACTGGCTGGATTTTCAGTCAGTTGATTAAGTTATTCTGTGTTCTTCATGACTTAGTTGACTAGATAGATCTATACCAGGGGTCAGGAACCTATGGCTTGGGGGCTCTTTTGATGATTATGTCTGTATACCTAGTAGGTATTCATAGTAAGATGTTTTATGTATTGGAGTTCTTCAGTATAATAATGTTAATAAACAACATCATTCAGTTTGAGACTAATATTACACTCCAAATGTGTCAATCTTGTTTAAAAGAATCATCAAAAATCACGTGTCTGGCTCCCATAGAAATACATGTTTGAATAGAGACTTTAGGCTCTCTCAGGAAAGAGGATTCCCGTCCTCTCATCTACTTTAACCTTACTTTCCATCCTTAACTCTCTATAAACACATTTTTGTCTGGGGTCAATTTAAAAAAATAGGAGCAGGTCAGGGGCCGAAAGTATAAACGTGGTGTATTTTGTTATAATCATCTTTTACATTGAGAAAGTTGAACAGTTTGGGTTCTGGGGGCGACAGTGGCTCAGTTGGTGGAGCTTTGGCCTTTGGTCGTGGGTTTGAGTCCACCGTGAGACCTACTTCACAACTCCCACAGATATCTGTTGTCATTGTGTCCTTGGGCAAGACACTTCACCCCACATTGCCTGAAGCCCCCGCTGAATAATCAAGGTTCCTGTGGACTCAGCACCTGCAGGAGGATCAGTGAGGGGCTGGTGCTCTGTGGACTGGGTGCAGCTCTGACTGCCACCCCCGACCCAGAAATGGATTAAGGGGAAGAAAATGGATGGATGGAGTTTGGGTTGAACAAAAACTGGACCAAATATAACGACTGATCTCTCCTCTGTAACATTATAATTTCTAAACACATGTTGAGTTCATGTTTTAGATTTAATAACATTACCTGCTAGTTTTCTTGATGAAAGTATTGAATAACATGCCATACAGTAGTAGCCCATGACATCAATGCTGCAAATTAATCATGATAATTTAGCATTATTTCAGAGGTCATAAACATGGTATAGGGGACTGGATTTGGGTTCCGCCTGATATAGAGCTTGGCTTCATTAGTCCCCATGAGCCGTCTGACTAATCCTTAAGAAAAGCAGTTTGTGTTAAATCCTCTTCTTCTATACATCACCGAGACCTGTCAACACTTCACTAACATTAAGCTATAGAAAAGACGGTGACAATAAGGCCCTGGCGTTCTCCTCTGCACATCCACCTGGCATGTGTGCGTGGTCCTCTAATCTCAGGATCCTTAAGCCTGGGATTCATATTTACATAAATCACATTCTGTGCCTCGCAGTTGAAATATCGTAAAGACATAAAGAAGATGAAGGGCACGTCGCACTTCCACAGTCTGACCTCGGAGGACAACCTTTCACTGAAGAACGCACGGAAAATCAGCAAGCTCGTCAGTGAGGTGGGTCCCTGCGCTGTCTCCTGCTTTTACACAGTTAAATATACACACTCCGCGCTCACTGTCCAGACATGTGTGCTTTTAAACCTTGGGAGATTGTTTTCCCATGAAGTAATGCAGCTTATATTCAAGGCCACCGCACACGAGCACAGACTATTGTTAGTCTGTCTATGTTTACGCACAAAACGGTCTTAAAATGTCATTGTTTTTGATGTATGTAGTGTGAGGAAAACGGCTTCACATTTATTCAGTGCCCGTGTGTTTTCTGGCTCAGGCTTGTAAATCTGGTTCAATGTGAATGGGGTTTGGGGCCAGATTCTGCTATTGCTAATTAATATACAATATTATTATATGACTTGGATCGTACGCGCGCTCTGATTGGTTGATTTGCGGTCTGATGTTTTCCCATCTCGGGCCGTTGCCATGACAATCAGTCCGCAGCGCGTATCAGATTTGATATATTTCCTCGGTAAAAAAGAATGAGCGACGACTTCGAAGAGCCAGAGGAAGTAATAACAGCAAATAACGACGAAAACACAACTCCTCACAGTCAAGAAGAGATCGACAACTTCGTTACAGATCAGAAAGGTACAAACAGGATTAGGAAAACCAAGTCGGAGATCGATATTTGCATAAATTAAAAATAGTCATATAATAAAACATGTATTAATCTCGCGTTTCTTTAATAAGCCGTTAACATTAAAGGCCTCAATCCACCAAAAAAAAAAATTATATTTGGTTTTCTCATTGTAGCTCTCTCTCTTCTGTATTACTTCCATGTTGTGTTTTTGTTTTGTTTTTTTTGTTTTTTATTTTATTTTTCTGTATGATTGCCTCTGGACAGGAGTGGGCGGATCAGGGGGCGGGGCCAGAGGGAGTTATTTTCTTCTTTAAAAACAACAGGTTTATAAAACAGAGTCAGGACAGCAGCCCAACAGTAATGTCCTTTACACGCATTTCCAGTTCTCAAAATGTGTGCGGACAAAAGCAAACACTAATAAAAAAACATTTAGATAAAAGACCAATCCACCATGTGATAAAAACTGAACTTGTGTTTTTCTTTTTTATTGTAGGTGGAATATAAAAAGGATTTAGAAAACACAAAAGGTCACAGCATTAACTTCTGTGAGACGCCACAGTTTCAAAACGCTGCCAAAGTCGCCAAGTTCACCAGCGATGTAAGTGCGGCCATTTTGGAATCGTTTAGACCATTGTTAATTAAAACATTTATATGTTTGATAGAACAAGTACAGAGAGAAGTACGCGGCCGGGATGAAGGGGTACTGCGAGGGCGGAGTCATGGACACCAAGACTCAGCACGCGCTCAAGGCCGGGAGGCTGCAGAGTGACGTAAGTGTTCTTAAAGGGGACCTAAGTGTTCTTAAAGGGGACCTAAGTGTTCTTAAAGGGGAAGTAAGTGTTCTTAAAGGGGACCTAAGTGTTCTTAAAGGGGACCTAAGTGTTCTTAAAGGGGACCTAAGTGTTCTTAAAGGGGAAGTAAGTGTTCTTAAAGGGGACCTAAGTGTTTTTAAAGTGGACGTAAGTGTTCTTAAAAGGGACCTAAGTGTTCTTAAAGGGGACCTAAGTGTTCTTAAAGAGGACGTAAGTGTTCTTAAAGGGGACCTAAGTGTTCTTAAAAGGGACCTAAGTGTTCTTAAAGGGGACCTAAGTGTCCTTAAAGGGGAAGTAAGTGTTCTTAAAGGGGACCTAAGTGTTTTTAAAGTGGACGTAAGTGTTCTTAAAGGGGACGTGAGTGTTTTTGGTGTGTCATGGAGAGCCTGACACACTGCATTACAGACTATATTCTCTTCTGTGTGGATAACACTGTACCAACTAAGAAGGTGCGGTGTTTTTCTAACAACCACCCATGGGTGACCCCTGAGCTTAAAGCCCTCCTGAACCTCAAGAAAAGGGCTTTCATCTCAGGGGACAGGGAGGAGCAGAAGAGGATCCAGCACGAGCTCCAGTGGAGGATCAGGAGGGCCAAGAAGGACTATGGGAAAAAGCTGGAGCAGAAGCTGGCCCAGGGAAACGCCCGCGACGTGTGGAGAGGCCTAAAGAACATCTCCGGCTTTAGACAGAGTGCCAGAGGAACAGCGGATGGAGACCAACACCGGGCGGACGAATTTAACCAGCACTTCAACCGGTTTGATTCTCCCCCCTCTCCATCTGCCCCCCCTCCCGCCCCCACCTCTTCACACGTCCCCAGCCCAGTGGACACCGCCCAGTGGACACTGCCTCCGGCTGCCCCGGGCCCTCCTGCCCCCGCATCCCCAGCCCCCACCTCGGACAGTACACCCCAGTCCCCCCCCCTCTCCATCACACCGGACCAGGTGAGGCGTCAGCTCCAGCGCCTGAAGCTGAGGAAATCCGCAGGACCGGACGGGATCAGTCCCAGGCTGCTGAGGACCTGTGCAGACCAGCTCTCTGGGATCCTCAGCTACATGTACAACCTGAGCCTCAGCCTGGAGAAGGTCCCTGTCCTGTGGAAGACCTCCTGTGTGATCCCGGTCCCAAAAACAGCACACGCCAAGGAACCGGCTCACTACAGACCAGTCGCACTGACCTCCCACCTGATGAAGACAATGGAGCACTGACCTCCCACCTGATGAAGACCATGGAGCACTGACCTCCTAACCTTGCCTGCAAGCTGAATTCTCGCGGTATTTGTGAGTTCACAAACACTCGAGAATACATCTTGTACCGCTCCCGCTTACACTTTTCGAGTCGAACCACTGGGTGTGCGAGCCAATCACGCGCCAGTCTGGGGGTTTAGGGCGGGATATCCGGGTTTGACGAAAGCAAGAAGTGCCGGGCCGAAGCAAAACAAACATGGCTACGCAGGAGGACGGACGCGTAGCTGAGGCTATCAAGTCAGTTTTAGCAGAATCTCCAATTTCTTTTTTGAAAGATGAACAGCGAGAGGCGCTTTGTGCATTTCTGGACGGCAACCTTGGTAGGCGGGCACACAGCGTCACTTCGCCCAATCAGCTTGAAGTATTCTGCTGCTTATCCCTCCTTTCCCCGAAAGGATTCTCCGGGAGAAATCCCAGATTGATATCGTGGAGAACGCGTTAGAGTTCTACACAATCATCAATCTGGCTCTTGCCAGGTTACTGACCTCCCACCTGATGAAGACCATGGAGCACTGACCTCCCACCTGATGAAGACCATGGAGCACTGACCTCCCACCTGATGAAGACCATGGAGCACTGACCTCCCACCTGATGAAGACCATGGAGCACTGACCTCTTCCTGATGAAGACCATGGAGCACTGACCTCCCACCTGATGAAGACAATGGAGCGGCTCATCCTCACCCATCTCCGCTCCGTGGTCAGCCCCACCCTGGACCCGCTGCAGTTCGCCTACAGACCCAACATCGGAGTAGAGGACGCCGTCATCTACTTCCTGCAGCGGACGCTCTCCCACCTGGAGCCTGCAGGGGGCGCTGTGAGGGTCATGTTTTTCGACTTCTCCAGCGCTTTCAATACCATCAGGCCGGCGCTGCTGCAGGGGAAGATGGAGGACGCGGGAGTGGACAGTAGCCTCACTGCATGGACCATCAACTACCTCACTGCATGGACCATCAACTACCTCACTGCATGGACCATCAACTACCTCACTGCATGGACCATCAACTACCTCTCAGACCGACCACAGTACGTGTGGCTGCGCAGCTGTGAGTCTGAGGTGGTCGTCTGCAGCACTGGGGCCCCTCAGGGCACTGTCCTCTCACCGTTTCTCTTCACCATCTACACCTCAGACTTCACACACGACACACACAGCTGTCACCTGCAGAAGTTCTCCGACGACTCCGCCATCGTGGGCTGTGTGTCTGAGGGGAACCAACTGGAATATCGGTCGGTTATCAAGGACTTTGTCGACTGGTGTGAGCGCAACCACTTGTGCTTGAACACCAGTAAGACCAAGGAGATGGTCATCGACTTCAGGAGAAAACCACTTTCCCACACGCTGCTGAACATCCAGGGGGAGGACATTGAGCTGGTGGACAGCTTCAAGTACCTGGGTGTTCACATTAACAATAAACTGGACTGGTCCATAATACAAACGCCCTGCACAAGAAGGGCCAAAGTCGCCTCTTCCTTCTGAGGAGGCTGAGGTCCTTCTGAGGAGGCTGAGGTCCTTATGAGGAGGCTGAGGTCCTTCTGAGGAGGCTGAGGTCCTTCTGAGGAGGCTGAGGTCCTTCGGAGTGAGCAGGCCTCTGCTCAGGACTTTTTATGACTCTGTGGTAGCTTCTGCCATTTACTACACTGCCGTGTGCTGGGCCCCGGGCAGCACAGAGCGGGACAGAAACAGACTGAACAAGCTGGTCAGGAGGAGGTGAGGGACAGGAGGCCCCTGGACTCTGTGGAGGAGGTGAGGGACAGGAGGCCCCTGGACTCTGTGGAGGAGGTGAGGGACAGGAGGCCCCTGGACTCTGTGGAGGAGGTGAGGGACAGGAGGCCCCTGGACTCTGTGGAGGAGGTGAGGGACAGGAGGCCCCTGGACTCTGTGGAGGAGGTGAGGGACAGGAGGCCCCTGGACTCTGTGGAGGAGGTGAGGGACAGGAGGCCCCTGGACTCTGTGGAGGAGGTGAGGGACAGGAGGCCCCTGGACTCTGTGGAGGAGCTGAGGAGCTCCTTCAGTGGAAGACTGAGGCACCCTCAGTGTAGGAAGGAGCGCTACCGCAGGGCCTTTATCCCCACCGCTGTCAGACTGTACAATAAGTCACTTTAAATGATCACTGTGTGAAAACCTGCACTACTATTGACACTGTTTCCAATTGACACTTGTCACTTTTATTGTACATATATATCCTGCATGTAACATGTTTGCACATTTCCTCCCTTTGCACAATCTGAGTGTCCTATCCATGCCAAATGTGACATGTACATTTCTCCTCTGTGAGATAAATAAAGCAATCTTATCTTATCTTATCTTAAAGTGGACGTAAGTGTTCTTAAAGGGGACGTAAGTGTTCTTAAAGGGGACGTAAGTGTTCTTAAAGGGGACGTAAGTGTTCTTAAAGGGGACGTAAGTGTTCTTAAAGGGGACCTAAGTGTTCTTAAAGGGGACGTAAGTGTTCTTAAAGGGGACGTAAGTGTTCTTAAAGGGGACGTAAGTGTTCTTAAAGGGGACCTAAGTGTTCTTAAAGGGGACCTAAGTGTTCTTAAAGGGGACGTAAGTGTTCTTAAAGGGGACGTAAGTGTTCTTAAAGGGGACCTAAGTGTTTTTTAAAGTGGACGTAAGTGTTCTTAAAGGGGACATAAGTGTTTTTAAAGTGGACCTAAGTGTTTTTAAAGTGGACCTAAGTGTTCTTAAAGGGGACCTAAGTGTTCTTAAAGGGGACCTAAGTGTTTTTAAAGGGGACGTAAGTGTTCTTAAAGGGGACCTAAGTGTTTTTAAAGGGGACATAAGTGTGAAGGGATGTCCCGCAGTGATGTCACGTTGTTTTTCACTTTAGATCGTGTATAAACAAGGGTCGGAGCAGGAGTACAACTACCAGGCCACGCTCACGCCCGGATACCAGTGCACCAAGAAGCTGGAGCCGCTGAAGGACGTGAGTTTGGGAGAGCTGTGTGTGGAATGATGAAAAGGAGAGTTGAGGCGGGTTTTGAAGCATACATGCATCGGGAGGTTTTCTCAAAGTTCTGTCAAAGTTCTTTCAGAGTTTCTGCTGTTTTTGTTTCTGTTTTTTCAGAGTGATTTCAATGTTCTTTCAGAGTTCTTTTGAGTTTTTTCAGAGTTTCTGCAGAGTTCTTGGGAGTTTTTTTCAGAGTTTTCTCAAAGTTTTCTCAATGTTTTTACAGAGTTATTACAGAGCTTTTACAGAGTTCTTTCAGAGTTTTCTCAGACAGAATGAAAACAGAGTAAGCATTATATAGAACAGCCTCCCCAGGTGTTATTGGGTCCAAACAGAGACCGGAGTCATCGAGACCTAAAAAAGTCCCTTTAATGTTACGTCTTTGTCCCATTTTTCACAGAATCTAAACAGCTATTTCTGGTGTTTTTCTATAATAATATTTGGGCTGGGTCTGTTGCTAATGCTAATGCTAATGCTAATGCAGCTTCCGGAGAGTTCCTTTTAGACATTATATTGTGATGTTTTGTAAATAACAAGAATTGACTGATTTATGGGTTTTTTTGTCTGCAGAAAAATTACAGACAACACATCGACCAAGTGAAGTTCAAACCCGTCATAGAAACTCCGGAGATCATTCGAGCCAAGAAGAACGCTCAACTCGCCAGCAACGTGAGTAGTTAAGCAGGGAAGGGCCTGGACAGCACTGTGATGGGAGACCTTTGTCATTGTGTGTGCTCTTTCGATGATTGTGTCTGGCTCTCAGAGAAATCTTATAAAAAATCACACATATTCACAGTAACAAAAATGTGTATGGCTTCCACCGACATTGTTTTTAATAGTTTTATTTCTTTGGCTCGCTCAGCTAAACATAAAACTTGTAATTTCATGCATTTTCATCACAGTGTTTTCATATATTTGAACTTTATCATTATTTTCAGCTCAATTACAAAGCGGACTATGAAAAGACCAAGCATCTGTACACACTGTCCCAGGACCTGCCTCAAATCAAACACGCTAAAGCTAACGCTGAACTCTGCTCTGATGTAAGTCCCACGTGCACGACATCCTTCTACGTGCACACTCCAGTTTATAGACTCACTGCATGCTTCAGAGCCTATTCTTGGGGTTCATATGACGTCAGGACAGTGGCGAATAACAAACGTAGGACAGGACGTGACGTATCCTGATGCTGCAGTCTGCCGGGTTTATACACAGAGATATAGTAGAAGAAGAAGTGGTTTATACACAGAGATATAGTAGAAGAAGAAGTGGTTTATACACAGAGATATAGTAGAAGAAGAAGTGATTTATACACAGAGATATAGTAGAAGAAGAAGTGGTTTATACACAGAGATATAGTAGAAGAAGAAGTGGTTTATACACAGAGATATAGTAGAAGAAGAAGTGATTTATACACAGAGATATAGTAGAAGAAGAAGTGGTTTATACACAGAGATATAGTAGAAGAAGAAGTGGTTTATACACAGAGATATAGTAGAAGTGGTTTATACACGGAGATATAGTAGAAGAAGAAGTGGTTTATACACAGAGATATAGTAGAAGAAGAAGTGGTTTATACACAGAGATATAGTAGAAGAAGAAGCATCTTTTTGTGCGGTGCACACTTGTAGCAACCGCACAAATAGAGAAAGACCAGAGTTTGTTCATGTTCCAACTGTGTCTCATATAAAGGAAGACACTTTGAAAAAAATCACTGGAATGAGGCGGAGGTGGATCAAGGCTTTCCTAGATAAGCGCCCCCTGCAGGCCACCCCAATGAAACGCAGCAATTTTTTCAGTTTTTTTTCCCCAAAAATGCCCAAAATCAAGCTCTTTTGAGAAATATTTGTTAGTACTTCCTTAGAATTGAGTGTCCCCGATTAAGACTGTTCCAACAACCGTACACCGCACAGGAGGAGAGCCTTTGACTCTAAAACAGACTTGACATGGTTTTACATGGGAGTAACACTGTCCCACCTCTGCTCATGCGCCCCCTACAGGCCAGGCTCAGGAAACACAAGAATATAGGATATGACTTATCTTGTATCCTTTTTTTGTGTTGTAGCATGTGTGTTTTTGTGTGTTTTCTGGTACAGACCTTTTACTGTCGTGTCTGAAATAATGTCATTTATTTTCCAACTCAGATCAAGTATAAAGAGCAGTGGGAGAAGACCAAGTCCAAAGCCTGTGAGACCGGTTTGGAGGATCTGTCGGTCCGAGCAGCTAAAGCCTCCAGGGACTTGGCCAGTGATGTAAGCGCGACACTAATTAACTTATAAACATATTACAGACTAAGTAGGGACTGAAGGGTTTTAATGACATGTGAAAACAGATAAATGTGATTAAGTTTAAGGACACGTGTTTCAGATCAAATACAAAGAATCCTACATGAAAAACAAGGAGAGAGCGGCGGGCGTTAACGTTAGCGACGCAAGAACTCTGCACTCGCTCCAGGTCGGGAGGATGGCCAGCGACGTGAGTAACATGGGTATTCATTTTATATTATAACTGTTTTTTTTAAAGGCATGTAAGTAGTTTTTACATGACATAGGAGATTTATTAAGGAAAGTCACGTTGAGATTAAGAACCTTTTTTTAAGGGAGTCTTGGACAAAAGTAGCACGTGTCTCAGTCCACAGAGATGGGAGCTGGGTCATGTTTACAGTGGTATTGGAAACCGGAGCACCTGGAGGAAACCTACTCAGACACAGGGAGAACATGCAAACTCCACATAATGTTTTCATCTTCTATTTCTCTATCCATATAAAGCTGGCAGACCTGTTTATTAATACAATATGTGTTATAAGTACAGTATAAGCACAGTTTGTTTGTGTTATTGTCTTATTATTATTATTACCTAACAGGTCGTGTTTTAACGACCTGTGACGCACTTTGGGTTACACTGCATGTGCTTTATAAATAAATGTGATTGATTGAAAATGTGCTAGATATAGGCAAGTTTATTTGTATAGCACAGTTCATACAGCCGCCAACACAGTGGAATAAAGGGGATTATACAAGGCGGAACAATAATACTAAAAATATACATTCATTTTATTTATAATGCACCTTACATTTCCAGGAAACCTCAAAGTGCTACAGATTTTTTTTCTTGTCTGTGTTGATCTGGACCTTGAGTCTGCAAATAAAGTTATCTATCCATCTATTAAGTTTGTTTGTTTGCTGCAGATCGAGTATAAGAAAGAATCAAAGGAAAGTCAGTCTCAGTTCATCGGCTCCAAGGATATGATCAACATGAGTCACGCCAAAAAGGCCCAGGCCCTCGCCAGCGACCTGGAGTACCGCAAGAAACTGCACGACTACACCGTGATGCCCGACGACATGAACGTCCAACAGGCCAAGAAGGCGTACGCCCTGCAGAGCGACGTAAGGACCCTCTGCACCAGAGAGAGCTGCTGTTAAAGGAGCCGTCTGTAAAAGTGTGGACAGAAGTGGTACTGCAGCCTCTCCCACTCTCCCTGACTCAGGTTGCCAGATATGCAGACGAATCCAGCTGGGACCATAACAGCTGAATAGACAAGAGTTTAGTCAACAACAAATCTATAACCAACACCTTTTTCACAAAGATAGAAATCCTGGTTTTATTCCTTGTTTTGTCGTTAATGATTTGAGAATCATAACGAGACCTTTTTTAGTTCTGCGCCACATGGTACTTTACCAGTGAGATTAGCTCCACGCGGTGAGTTCTGGCGCCCGGATCACAGACTTTCTGATTGGTGAAACGGTGGAGGGCGGGACATCGAAATGAAAACAATAACAAGATTTAGGGCCCTTTAATGATGACAGATTAGGGCCCTTTAATGATGACAGATTAGGGCCCTTTAATAATGACAGATTAGGGCCCTTTAATGATGACAGATTAGGGCCCTTTAATAATGACAGATTAGGGCCCTTTAATGATGACAGATTAGGGCCCTTTAATAATGACAGATTAGGGCCCTTTAATGATGACAGATTAGGGCCCTTTAATGATGACAGATTAGGGCCCTTTAATGATGACAGATTAGGGCCCTTTAACAATTATAGATTAGTAAGTAATCTTTATTTATATACCGCCTTTTCACTGCAGATCTGAGTCTCAAAGCGGTTTACAATTGTTTATTTTGGGCATTAGTCTCTCACTCCACACAGAGGTGGGAGGGGCCAGTACAGGAGGTGCATGCTAGAACTATTGGACATGTTTTTAGTGGTAGGGGAAACCGGAGTACCCGGAGGAAACCTACGCAGACACGGGGAGAACATGCAAACTCCACTCAGAAAGGCCCTGGTCCGACCGAGATTCGAACCCAGGACCTTCTTGCTGAGAGGCGAGAGTGCTATCCACTCAGCCACCGTGCCGCCCGCGATTAGGGCTCTTTAATGATGACAGATTAGGGCCCTTTAATGATGACCGTTTAGGGCCCTTTAATGATGACCGTTTAGGGCCCTTTAATGATGACAGATTAGGGCCCTTTAATGATGACCGTTTAGGGCCCTTTAATGATGACCGTTTAGGGCCCTTTAATGATGACAGATTAGGGCCCTTTAATGATGACAGATTATGGCCCTTTAATGATGACAGATTAGGGCCCTTTAATGATGACAGATTAGGGCCCTTTAATGAGGACAGATTAGGGCCCTTTAATGATGACAGATTAGGGCCCTTTAATAATGACAGATTAGGGCCCTTTAATGATGACAGACTAGGGCCCTTTAATGAGGACAGATTAGGGGCCTTTAATGATGACAGATTAGGGCCCTTTAATGAGGATGTGTGTCTTGTCTTGGTCTAGAATCGGTATCGGTCGGACCTGAACTGGATGAAAGGCGTTGGGTGGGAGGCTGAAGGTTGTCTGAACATAGAACAGGCCAAAAAGGCGGGAAACCTCTTGAGTGACGTAAGTATTCTTTAATATTTATTGTTATTTTTTAGAAACTAGTGACGGGTTTAGTACCTGCTCAAATGTAAACTGTATTTTTTTTTACTAATACTGATATTACTTACATTTTACATTAATTTAATATTTTTTTGATTGATTTTAGGAATTTGAAATGATTTACATTTTGTCAGCTCGAGATGGAGTCGGGAAATAATTAAATACCTAAAGACCCACCCCATGAACATTATTATTATTATTATTATTTTCAATTTAGGACACGATAATACATCACTTGTTATAATTACATAATAAAAAATAATAATTTTGTTTCAAATAATTTTGTCCTGTCACACAAATGAAAAGGAGCAGAAAGGAAATACAAATCTTATGTTGCCCCTTTAAATTTAAATACAGGAATCTAATTATTTAGCAGTTATTTCTTGAATATTATTAATTTTCTAATAGTTTGTATTAATTCTGTCTTTTATTCTTCCAGACTAAATACCGTCAGAAAGCAGACAGCATCAGGTTCACGCAGGTGACCGACGATCTCAACATGAAACATGCACAAAAAAGCCAGGAGCTGCAGAGTGACGTACGTTTATGAACAGTTTAAAGCTCAGCGCGTGGACGAGATGCTGCTTTTTATTTTATTTATTTATTTTATTTGAGCCTCAGAGTTTCACATTGTCCAGTTTTACACTAAGCACAAGGTTCAGCAGATACAGTATCTTATACACAAGTTTATATGTAAGTATACACAAAACAAAAGAAGTAAGGAACGTTTACAACACTCTAATGAATGAACATGCTAATAATGCTAATGCTAATGAGGCTAATGCTAATGATGTTAATGAGGCTAATGCTAATGATGTTAATGAGGCTAATGCTAATTATGCTAATTATCATTGGGGCTAATTAGGCTAATGCTAATGATGCTAATTATCATGGTGCTATTGATAGATACTTTACTGATACCTGTAGGATAATTAATGCTAGAAATGATGCTAATGCTAATGAGGCCAATGCTGCTCACGATGCTAATGAAGCTAATGCTAAGGGTGCTAATGAAGCTAATACTAATGAAGCTAATGCTAATGATGCTAATGAAGCTAATGCTAATATTGCTAATGAAGCCAATGGTAATGAAGCTAATGCTAATGGTGCTAATGATGCTAAAGAAGCTAGTGCTAATTAAGCCAAGGATTATGATGCTAATTAACCCAATGCTAATGAAGCTAATGCTAATGGTGCTATTCTGTGTGTTTCCAGCTGGCGTACAAAGCAGACACGGAACAGATCATCCACCAGTACACCATGACCAAAGACGAACCACTTTTCAAACAAGCTAAGGCTAATGCTGAGCTCTTGAGTGATGTAAATCCATTGTCCTGTTTACAAATACAATTACTATTACTATTACTATTACTGTTACTACATATACATTTAAATCTTGTCAAACTATGTGCTTTGTTGTGTTGTAGAAAGCTTACAAAAGTAACTGGGAAAAACAGAGGGACAAAGGTTTTGAGATGCGTCTGGATTCCATGTCCATCCTCACGGCTAAAGCTAAGAGAGACCTGGCTAGCAATGTGAGTTTTAACAAAGTAAATCAATGCTTCCTTATATAGAGTATGGTCTTATAGCTGTATCTCTCCTCACAGATCAAATACAAAGAACAATACGAGAAAGAAAAAGGCAAAGTTATCGGGATCAAGTCTGTGAGTGATGACTCTCAGATGGCCCACTCCACACAGGCCACCAAACTGCACAGCGACCGTTGCTACAAACAGAAGTATGAGGACACCAAGGACCAGTTCAGGTTAGCACTTTACATGAGGACACCAAGGACCAGTTCAGGTTAGCACTTTACATGAGGACACCAAGGACCAGTTCAGGTTAGCACTTTACATGAGGACACCAAGGACCAGTTCAGGTTAGCACTTTACATGAGGACACCAAGGACCAGTTCAGGTTAGCACTTTACATGAGGACACCAAGGACCAGTTCAGGTTAGCACTTTACATGAGGACACCAAGGACCAGTTCAGGTTAGCACTTTACATGAGGACACCAAGGACCAGTTCAGGTTAGCACTTTACATGAGGACACCAAGGACCAGTTCAGGTTAGCACTTTACATGAGGACACCAAGGACCAGTTCAGGTTAGCACTTTACATGAGGACACCAAGGACCAGTTCAGGTTAGCACTTTACATGAGGACACCAAGGACCAGTTCAGGTTAGCACTTTACATGAGGACACCAAGGACCAGTTCAGGTTAGCACTTTACATGAGGACACCAAGGACCAGTTCAGGTTAGCACTTTACATGAGGACACCAAGGACCAGTTCAGGTTAGCACTTTACATGAGGACACCAAGGACCAGTTCAGGTTAGCACTTTACATGAGGACACCAAGGACCAGTTCAGGTTAGCACTTTACATGAGGACACCAAGGACCAGTTCAGGTTAGCACTTTACATGAGGACACCAAGGACCAGTTCAGGTTAGCACTTTACATGAGGACACCAAGGACCAGTTCAGGTTAGCACTTTACATGAGGACACCAAGGACCAGTTCAGGTTAGCACTTTACATGAGGACACCAAGGACCAGTTCAGGTTAGCACTTTACATGAGGACACCAAGGACCAGTTCAGGTTAGCACTTTACATGAGGACACCAAGGACCAGTTCAGGTTAGCACTTTACATGAGGACACCAAGGACCAGTTCAGGTTAGCACTTTACATGAGGACACCAAGGACCAGTTCAGGTTAGCACTTTACATGAGGACACCAAGGACCAGTTCAGGTTAGCACTTTACATGAGGACACCAAGGACCAGTTCAGGTTAGCACTTTACATGAGGACACCAAGGACCAGTTCAGGTTAGCACTTTACATGAGGACACCAAGGACCAGTTCAGGTTAGCACTTTACATGAGGACACCAAGGACCAGTTCGGTTAGCACTTTACATGAGGACACCAAGGACCAGTTCAGGTTAGCACTTTACATGAGGACACCAAGGACCAGTTCAGGTTAGCACTTTACATGAGGACACCAAGGACCAGTTCAGGTTAGCACTTTACATGAGGACACCAAGGACCAGTTCAGGTTAGCACTTTACATGAGGACACCAAGGACCAGTTCAGGTTAGCACTTTACATGAGGACACCAAGGACCAGTTCAGGTTAGCACTTTACATGAGGACACCAAGGACCAGTTCAGGTTAGCACTTTACATGAGGACACCAAGGACCAGTTCAGGTTAGCACTTTACATGAGGACACCAAGGACCAGTTCAGGTTAGCACTTTACATGAGGACACCAAGGACCAGTTCAGGTTAGCACTTTACATGAGGACACCAAGGACCAGTTCAGGTTAGCACTTTACATGAGGACACCAAGGACCAGTTCAGGTTAGCACTTTACATGAGGACACCAAGGACCAGTTCAGGTTAGCACTTTACATGAGGACACCAAGGACCAGTTCAGGTTAGCACTTTACATGAGGACACCAAGGACCAGTTCAGGTTAGCACTTTACATGAGGACACCAAGGACCAGTTCAGGTTAGCACTTTACATGAGGACACCAAGGACCAGTTCAGGTTAGCACTTTACATGAGGACACCAAGGACCAGTTCAGGTTAGCACTTTACATGAGGACACCAAGGACCAGTTCAGGTTAGCACTTTACATGAGGACACCAAGGACCAGTTCAGGTTAGCACTTTACATGAGGACACCAAGGACCAGTTCAGGTTAGCACTTTACATGAGGACACCAAGGACCAGTTCAGGTTAGCACTTTACATGAGGACACCAAGGACCAGTTCAGGTTAGCACTTTACATGAGGACACCAAGGACCAGTTCAGGTTAGCACTTTACATGAGGACACCAAGGACCAGTTCAGGTTAGCACTTTACATGAGGACACCAAGGACCAGTTCAGGTTAGCACTTTACATGAGGACACCAAGGACCAGTTCAGGTTAGCACTTTACATGAGGACACCAAGGACCAGTTCAGGTTAGCACTTTACATGAGGACACCAAGGACCAGTTCAGGTTAGCACTTTACATGAGGACACCAAGGACCAGTTCAGGTTAGCACTTTACATGAGGACACCAAGGACCAGTTCAGGTTAGCACTTTACATGAGGACACCAAGGACCAGTTCAGGTTAGCACTTTACATGAGGACACCAAGGACCAGTTCAGGTTAGCACTTTACATGAGGACCCAAGGACCAGTTCAGGTTAGCACTTTACATGAGGACACCAAGGACCAGTTCAGGTTAGCACTTTACATGAGGACACCAAGGACCAGTTCAGGTTAGCACTTTACATGAGGACACCAAGGACCAGTTCAGGTTAGCACTTTACATGAGGACACCAAGGACCAGTTCAGGTTAGCACTTTACATGAGGACACCAAGGACCAGTTCAGGTTAGCACTTTACATGAGGACACCAAGGACCAGTTCAGGTTAGCACTTTACATGAGGACACCAAGGACCAGTTCAGGTTAGCACTTTACATGAGGACACCAAGGACCAGTTCAGGTTAGCACTTTACATGAGGACACCAAGGACCAGTTCAGGTTAGCACTTTACATGAGGACACCAAGGACCAGTTCAGGTTAGCACTTTACATGAGGACACCAAGGACCAGTTCAGGTTAGCACTTTACATGAGGACACCAAGGACCAGTTCAGGTTAGCACTTTACATGAGGACACCAAGGACCAGTTCAGGTTAGCACTTTACATGAGGACACCAAGGACCAGTTCAGGTTAGCACTTTACATGAGGACACCAAGGACCAGTTCAGGTTAGCACTTTACATGAGGACACCAAGGACCAGTTCAGGTTAGCACTTTACATGAGGACACCAAGGACCAGTTCAGGTTAGCACTTTACATGAGGACACCAAGGACCAGTTCAGGTTAGCACTTTACATGAGGACACCAAGGACCAGTTCAGGTTAGCACTTTACATGAGGACACCAAGGACCAGTTCAGGTTAGCACTTTACATGAGGACACCAAGGACCAGTTCAGGTTAGCACTTTACATGAGGACACCAAGGACCAGTTCAGGTTAGCACTTTACATGAGGACACCAAGGACCAGTTCAGGTTAGCACTTTACATGAGGACACCAAGGACCAGTTCAGGTTAGCACTTTACATGAGGACACCAAGGACCAGTTCAGGTTAGCACTTTACATGAGGACACCAAGGACCAGTTCAGGTTAGCACTTTACATGAGGACACCAAGGACCAGTTCAGGTTAGCACTTTACATGAGGACACCAAGGACCAGTTCAGGTTAGCACTTTACATGAGGACACCAAGGACCAGTTCAGGTTAGCACTTTACATGAGGACACCAAGGACCAGTTCAGGTTAGCACTTTACATGAGGACACCAAGGACCAGTTCAGGTTAGCACTTTACATGAGGACACCAAGGACCAGTTCAGGTTAGCACTTTACATGAGGACACCAAGGACCAGTTCAGGTTAGCACTTTACATGAGGACACCAAGGACCAGTTCAGGTTAGCACTTTACATGAGGACACCAAGGACCAGTTCAGGTTAGCACTTTACATGAGGACACCAAGGACCAGTTCAGGTTAGCACTTTACATGAGGACACCAAGGACCAGTTCAGGTTAGCACTTTACATGAGGACACCAAGGACCAGTTCAGGTTAGCACTTTACATGAGGACACCAAGGACCAGTTCAGGTTAGCACTTTACATGAGGACACCAAGGACCAGTTCAGGTTAGCACTTTACATGAGGACACCAAGGACCAGTTCAGGTTAGCACTTTACATGAGGACACCAAGGACCAGTTCAGGTTAGCACTTTACATGAGGACACCAAGGACCAGTTCAGGTTAGCACTTTACATGAGGACACCAAGGACCAGTTCAGGTTAGCACTTTACATGAGGACACCAAGGACCAGTTCAGGTTAGCACTTTACATGAGGACACCAAGGACCAGTTCAGGTTAGCACTTTACATGAGGACACCAAGGACCAGTTCAGGTTAGCACTTTACATGAGGACACCAAGGACCAGTTCAGGTTAGCACTTTACATGAGGACACCAAGGACCAGTTCAGGTTAGCACTTTACATGAGGACACCAAGGACCAGTTCAGGTTAGCACTTTACATGAGGACACCAAGGACCAGTTCAGGTTAGCACTTTACATGAGGACACCAAGGACCAGTTCAGGTTAGCACTTTACATGAGGACACCAAGGACCAGTTCAGGTTAGCACTTTACATGAGGACACCAAGGACCAGTTCAGGTTAGCACTTTACATGAGGACACCAAGGACCAGTTCAGGTTAGCACTTTACATGAGGACACCAAGGACCAGTTCAGGTTAGCACTTTACATGAGGACACCAAGGACCAGTTCAGGTTAGCACTTTACATGAGGACACCAAGGACCAGTTCAGGTTAGCACTTTACATGAGGACACCAAGGACCAGTTCAGGTTAGCACTTTACATGAGGACACCAAGGACCAGTTCAGGTTAGCACTTTACATGAGGACACCAAGGACCAGTTCAGGTTAGCACTTTACATGAGGACACCAAGGACCAGTTCAGGTTAGCACTTTACATGAGGACACCAAGGACCAGTTCAGGTTAGCACTTTACATGAGGACACCAAGGACCAGTTAAGGTTAGCACTTTACATGAGGACACCAAGGACCAGTTCAGGTTAGCACTTTACATGAGGACACCAAGGACCAGTTCAGGTTAGCACTTTACATGAGGACACCAAGGACCAGTTCAGGTTAGCACTTTACATGAGGACACCAAGGACCAGTTCAGGTTAGCACTTTACATGAGGACACCAAGGACCAGTTCAGGTTAGCACTTTACATGAGGACACCAAGGACCAGTTCAGGTTAGCACTTTACATGAGAACACCAAGGACCAGTTCAGGTTAGCACTTTACATGAGGACACCAAGGACCAGTTCAGGTTAGCACTTTACATGAGGACACCAAGGACCAGTTCAGGTTAGCACTTTACATGAGGACACCAAGGACCAGTTCAGGTTAGCACTTTACATGAGGACACCAAGGACCAGTTCAGGTTAGCACTTTACATGAGGACACCAAGGACCAGTTCAGGTTAGCACTTTACATGAGGACACCAAGGACCAGTTCAGGTTAGCACTTTACATGAGGACACCAAGGACCAGTTCAGGTTAGCACTTTACATGAGGACACCAAGGACCAGTTCAGGTTAGCACTTTACATGAGGACACCAAGGACCAGTTCAGGTTAGCACTTTACATGAGGACACCAAGGACCAGTTCAGGTTAGCACTTTACATGAGGACACCAAGGACCAGTTCAGGTTAGCACTTTACATGAGGACACCAAGGACCAGTTCAGGTTAGCACTTTACATGAGGACACCAAGGACCAGTTCAGGTTAGCACTTTACATGAGGACACCAAGGACCAGTTCAGGTTAGCACTTTACATGAGGACACCAAGGACCAGTTCAGGTTAGCACTTTACATGAGGACACCAAGGACCAGTTCAGGTTAGCACTTTACATGAGGACACCAAGGACCAGTTCAGGTTAGCACTTTACATGAGGACACCAAGGACCAGTTCAGGTTAGCACTTTACATGAGGACACCAAGGACCAGTTCAGGTTAGCACTTTACATGAGGACACCAAGGACCAGTTCAGGTTAGCACTTTACATGAGGACACCAAGGACCAGTTCAGGTTAGCACTTTACATGAGGACACCAAGGACCAGTTCAGGTTAGCACTTTACATGAGGACACCAAGGACCAGTTCAGGTTAGCACTTCACCCTCACTACAACACATGGCCACAGTAGTGTAGTATCAGCAGTGACTGGCGGTGGTGGGAGGGACGTCGAAATGATTTAGGGTCTTAGGAATTCAAATATCTCTGAACGACTGTTATCAGTTAAAGAAGTTTTGGAAAAGAGCAGTTTATTATTATGACAGATTAGGGCCCTTTAATGATGACAGATTAGGGCCCTTTAATGATGACAGATTAGGTCCCTTTAATGATGACAGATTAGGGCCCTTTAATGATGACAGATTAGGGCCCTTTAATGATGACAGATTAGGGCCCTTTAATAATGACAGATTAGGGCCCTTTAATGAGGACAGATTAGGGCCCTTTATTGATGACAGATTAGGGCCCTTTAATGATGACAGATTAGGGCCCTTTAATGATGACAGATTAGGGCCCTTTAATGATGACAGATTAGGGCCCTTTAATGATGACAGATTAGGGCCCTTTAATGACGACAGATAAGGGCCCTTTAATGATGACAGATTAGGGCCCTTTAATGATGACAGATTAGGGCCCTTTAATGATGACAGATAAGGGCTCTTTAATGATGACAGATTAGGGCCCTTTAATGATGACAGATTAGGGCCCTTTAATAATGACAGATTAGGGCCCTTTAATGATGACAGATTAGGGCCCTTTAATGATGACAGATAAGGGCTCGTTAATGATGACAGATTAGGGCCCTTTAATGATGACAGATTAGGGCCCTTTAATAATGACAGATTAGGGCCCTTTAATAATGACAGATTAGGGCCCTTTAATGATGACAGATTAGGGCCCTTTAATAATGACAGATTAGGGCCCTTTAATGATGACAGATTAGGGCCCTTTAATTATGACAGTTTAGGGCCCTTTAATGATGACAGATTAGGGCCCTTTATGTAGTGTAGTATCAGCAGTGACTGGCGGTGGTGGGAGGGGCTGATTCTACCCCAGGGCGGCTGCGGCTTCATGACCGTGTGTGGAATTAATCTGTCCGTAGTTCTCTCAGTTGAAAAGCATCATTTAATCCAGCCCTGTCCAAACTCAGTGTATGTGGCCCTCTGCCTCGCTAACCCACAGTAGTCTTTGAGATGATAAAAGTTCACTGTGTCATTCATCCAACTTCAGCTCAGTCAATATAGACATGTCGTACCTCGTTCCAAAACCCTGTACGTCTGGAATTCAGCCGCTGACTTTATTTGTAGAAACTTTACTGGAATTTTTTTGTATGAGTCATAAACTTCCGGTAAGTGATGCTAATGTAGATGGTGAGATTATAAACATGTGTCATTCAGCCAACTTCAGCTCTGTTATACGTCATTCTAAAGCTCAGAACAGCCTGATGTCAGTCAAGACAGTTTTTCAGTCTGTGACTTCGGCCTCTGGACTAGTCTGGGAAACTAAAATGGCTCTTCCTAAAATGTTTGGACACCCCCGATTTAATCAATAGCTCAATGTTGTCATAAAAAACTGACAGAAAACACAATTTTTTGCCCTTTTGGAAATACCTCATGTTTATTATGACTTTATCCATTAAATTAGTTCAATGTGAGAATGATTATGAAAAGGATATTGATATTGGTCCTGTTTGGCTCCAATGTGTAAAAGTCTATAGTGTCCACTCTCGCCTGGTCTTAGCCATCTGTAAACTCCATTCACTTAATACTGACCTACATGTAGGAAATGAAATGTGTACCATGGTACGATAAGACCAGGCTAATGCGACTCTGGATCTAGGACAAAGCCACAAAGACTAAACATGTACCAAGACTGGGAGAGACAGTGCTCAATCATTTATTTTTATTTATTTTTATATTTTTCTAATTATTTGTTTGTTTGTTTCACATCGCCATGGTTACCAAATACATTACATTTTTGTGCATATCTTTATGACAGAAGTAAGATTAAGATGAAGGTTAAGATGTCCTGTTTAACTCTATATTATCCCGGTCGTACCACACCACAGTACACAGTTTACGGAGGGCTAAGTCCAGGCTAACTCTATACTAAGATATAGAACAGATATAGAAAAAAAAAAACGTATAAAGAAGCACAATAAAGAAGCAAATCTAAAATCTCCAACTTTAGCAGAATCAAGAAGTAAGAATTAAGTACAAACTCTCTAACTTTGACATAATAAAGAAGCCAGTTTAAATACTTCTAGTGCAAGAGAATATATTACAAAACTACCAGGGATTTGAAGTCCGTGTTTTATAAATGTTAATTAACCGTGTTTTATGAATGTTAATTAACCATGTTTTATGAATGTTAATTAACCGTGTTTTATGAATGTTAATTAACCGTGTTTTATGAATGTTAATTAACCGTGTTGGCGTGTGCAGCGTGTCTCTGGACATGTTGAACATCAGCCACGCTCAGAAAGCACAGGACCTGGCCACAGAAACCAACTACAGAACCATCCTCCACGACTACACCACGCTCCCCTCCGACATCAGCGTCACGTGGGCCAAGAAGGCGTACGGGCTCCAAAGCAACGTACGTGACCGCCATTTACTCTAGAAAAACACATGTTGAATATTGAAAGTGAAACGTCTGTGTGTGTTTTATCCTTTTCAGAAACAGTACAGGTCAGATCTAAACTGGATGAAGGGAGTGGGATGGGAGGCCTCCAAGTCTCTGGACGTCCAACAGGCAAAGAAAGCCGGGGAGCTTCTTAGCGAGGTAGGCTATGACAAGGCGACCGAAAAACGCCCGGCCTTAAAAGCAGAAGAGACATTATTATTTAAAGCCGTCATTTAACTAGGTGAGATTTATTTTGAATAAGTTATAAGGAAGGGATACTGGAGCTGGCAGAACATGTGACGGGAAAGCACATATCTGGTTTACAACTAGGGTCAGATGTATTTAAAGTCTCTCTGAGCGTGTGCGCGTTAATGAGAAGGAGGTCAGTTTCAAGCCTAAACTGAGAAACAGGAGATAAATATGTGACAAAAAACCAAAATGGGCTCATATCGTACGTGGTATAAGTTCATATCTACTCTAGCTTACCCTGGTAATGCTAACAGATACAGCATGAAGATTATTTTTACTTTAACACATGATTTATAAATAACTAGTGCATGCCTGCTGCTTATTGCAAAGTCTCACCAATGCTAAGAATATGTTTTATCCTGTTGAAAAGGCCCGTAGCTTGACAGCGCCCTCTGGTGGGTGTCTAAAGCATGGCAGTGCAGCTGTAACGTCATTTGAAATCCTTACGATCGATTCACTTTTTTTGTGCGATAATTTTTAATCAAGTTGTAAATTCTAATTACATTTACACACTTTACTTTTGTCCCCTTTTTGTTCCCCACATCCCCTTTTCCCTTGTGGTGGGCAGAGAGGCTCAAAAAAAATAAAAAAAAATAAAAAAATAATTCAGTTTAAGACATCAATACAGAATGAGTAATTAATCAAAAAATAAAACAAAGATGAATAGATATATACTAATAATAACAATAACCAAAAAAAACCTGAACTGATATAAGTTGTGAAGAATAATCTACAGCTGAGCAAACAAAAGGAGCTGATTTGATCTATTTACTTTTTATTCAACAGAAAAAGTATCGTCAGAATGTGAGTAACCTGAAGTTCACCAGCGTCGAGGACACTCCCGAGATGGTCCAGGCCAAACTCAGCAACAAACTGGCCGTCGATGTGGGTTTGATATATACGTAACACAGGGTTAATATGAACAAAAACTACCATAAAAACAGTCTTAATGCTGCTGTTTCCGTGCAGAGGTTGTACAGAGAAAAGGCTGAAGACGTGAGACATAACTACACCCTGAGTGGAGAGCTGCCAGAGATGATGCAGGCCAGAATCAACGCTAAGAACATCAGCGAGGTGAAGATACAGAGAGAAACTGAGACAAACGCTGCCTTTATACGTTTGTTTTTTTACTTTACGCACTTTCTTTTTGTTCAGAGCCAATACAAAGAGTCCTGGACTAAGTTACGTGACGGAGGCTACAAGCTGCGACTGGACGCTCTTCCTTTCCAGTCTGCAAAGGCGTCTACAGAGATCCTCAGTGATGTAGGCCCAGAGTGATGTCACAGTGTTTTGGAAAGACCCCCCATGGTCTCATGACGTACGCCTTAACTGTAGCTGATGGTTTTATTGTCATTTTAGCAAAAGTACAAAGAAGAATTTGAGAAAACCAAAGGGAAGATGATTGGACTGAAAGGACTTCAGGACGACCTCAACATTTCTCACTCAGTTAATGCCACGAAACTTCAAAGTGATGTAAGTATTGATTCTACTCAGTAAATGTGGGTGGGTTTTAATACTATATGCATGGTGTGTGTGTGTGTGATTTTAAAATGTTTTATCTTGCACCACCCAAGCCCCTGACTCCCCACGTGCCGACAATTAGAACACCACTGCCATGGGTATAAGAGGCAGTGGGGAGGAAGAAGAGGAGGACGAGGATGTTGCAGAACCAGACACGGGGAAGGCTGACCCCGTGGTTTGGCGGTCCAGGTTGTGGCCACGAGAAAGGACAGAGCAGGACTGAGTAGCAGTGTATTCTAGCATGTATTTTTAGCCTTTTTTTAGCCCCATTTTTATCGTAGGTTTTTAGTGCTTTTTACCCGTTTATTTCCACGGGTTCAAGGGAACATGGCTGCTCCGTCAGCAGTGACACAGCCTTGTCCTTTCAGCGGGGGCTTCGGGCAACGACAGCAGACATTAGTGGGAGCAGTTGGACAAGGTCTCGCGGGGGGATCTGACCCAAAACCTTCAGTCTACCAACTGAGACACCGTCGCCCTAAATTTGTTTTCATTTTAAACCCGGGTCAAAAGAACCTGTTTCCCTGTGACATAAACATCAAACTGTGAATCTAAAAAACACATTTGAACCAAACTGTTTGTGCTCAGATCAAATACAGAGAGGACTCAGCGAGGGACATGTCCAAGGTCCACCTGGGACTGGACATGCTGCAGGTCTCCCACGCCACCAAGGCCCAGTCCTTAGTGTCGGACCAGGACTACAGACTGACCCTGCACCACTACACCACTCTGCCCGACGATATGAAGGTGCAGGCCGCCAAGAAGGCATACGCACTGCAGAGTGACGTAAGTACACACACACACACGCACACACACACGTCACAACACAACACAACACACACACACACACACCTCTGCCTGACGATATGAAGGTGCAGGCCGCCAAGAAGGCATACGCACTGCAGAGTGACGGAAGTACACACACGTTACAACACACTCACAACACACACACACAACATACACACCCACACACACACACACGTATATCATTTGTTGTTAATACACGTGTGCAGAAAGTCTATCGCTCAGACCTGAACTATTTACGAGGAGCAGCGTGGATCGCAGCTGGAGCTCTGCAGATCGAGGGAGTCAAGAAGGCCACGGAACTCATCAGTGACGTACGACACAGTTATATAAATATATACACTGAAGATTATGGATTTATACGATAAGATAAGATAGAAAGACAGAAGTGTGAAACATGTTAAAGTTTAGAAATATAGTCTGTGTGGATATACTTATGTACAATAAAAAAGTAGCAATAGCAGCAGGTTTGTCAGTCCTAGTGCAGTAGTGACTTAAAGTGACTTATTGTACAGTCTGACAGTGGTGTGGATAAAGATTATATAGTGCCAATCTCACCACAATGATTTTTCCAACAGAAAAAGTACCGCCAACAACCGTACAACTTCAGACACACGTCCGTGACCGACTCTCCAGACATTGTTCACGCCAAAATGAGCGGGAAAATAACAAATGAAGTGAGTTATTGTTATAACTTCATCGTATTTGCTCATTTACTAAAACAGTGCTTCTTCAGCGCTTGTACAAAGAGAAAGGTGTGAGCGACCAACACAACTACACCATCACCTCAGAGAGACCGGAGATCACACAGGCCAAGATCAACGCCGCAAACCTGAGTGATGTAAGGAAACAATCCATGCAGTATTCCCTGTGGTCTTGGGTCTTAGGTCTGGGGTCTGGGGTCTGAGGTCTGGAGTCTGGGGTCTGAGGTCTGGGGTCTGGAGTCTGGGGTCTGGGGTCTGAGGTCTGGAGGTCTGAGGTCTGGGGTCTGAGGTCTGGGGTCTGAGGTCTGAGGTCTGGGGTCTGAGGTCTGGGGTCTGAGGTCTGAGGGGTCTGAGGTCGTGGGTCTGGAGTCTGGTCTGAGGTCTGGGGTCTGGGTCTGAGGTCTGGGGTCTGGGGTCTGGGGTCTGAGGTCTGGGGTCTGAGGTCTGGGGTCTGAGGTCTGAGGTCTGGGGTCTGAGGTCTGGGGTCTGGGGTCTGAGGTCTGGGGTCTGGGGTCTGAGGTCTGGGGTCTGGGGTCTGGAGTCTGAGGTCTGGGGTCTGGGGTCTGGGGTCTGAGGTCTGGGGTCTGAGGTCTGGGGTCTGGGGTCTGGAGTCTGAGGTCTGGGGTCTGAGGTCTGGGGTCTGGGGTCTGGAGTCTGAGGTCTGGGGTCTGGGGTCTGGGGTCTGGGGTCTGGGTCTGGGGTCTGGGGTCTGGAGTCTGAGGTCTGGAGTCTGAGGTCTGGGGTCTGAGGTCTGGGGTCTGAGGTCTGGGGTCTGAGGTCTGGGGTCTGAGGTCTGGGGTCTGGGGTCTGGAGTCTGAGGTCTGGGGTCTGAGGTCTGGAGTCTGAGGTCTGGGGTCTGGGGTCTGGAGTCTGAGGTCTGGGGTCTGGGGTCTGGGGTCTGGGGTCTGGGGTCTGGGGTCTGGAGTCTGAGGTCTGGGGTCTGGGGTCTGGGGTCTGGGGTCTGGAGTCTGAGGTCTGGGGTCTGAGGTCTGGGGTCTGAGGTCTGGGGTCTGGGGTCTGGGGTCTGGGGTCTGGGGTCTGGAGTCTGGAGTCTGGAGTCTGAGGTCTGGGGTCTGGGGTCTGGGGTCTGGGGTCTGGAGTCTGAGGTCTGGGGTCTGGGGTCTGGGGTCTGGGGTCTGGGGTCTGGGGTCTGAGGTCTGGGGTCTGAGGTCTGGGGTCTGAGGTCTGGGGTCTGGGGTCTGGGGTCTGGGGTCTGGGGTCTGGGGTCTGGAGTCTGGAGTCTGAGGTCTGGGTCTGGGTCTGGGTCTGGGGTCTGGGGTCTGGGGTCTGGGGTCTGGGGTCTGGGGTCTGGGGTCTGGGTCTGGGGTCTGGGTCTGGGGTCTGGGGTCTGGGGTCTGGGTCTGGGTCTGAGGTCTGGGGTCTGGGGTCTGAGGTCTGGGGTCTGGGGTCTGGGGTCTGGGGTCTGGGGTCTGGGGTCTGGAGTCTGGAGTCTGGGGTCTGGGGTCTGGGGTCTGGGGTCTGGGGTCTGGGTCTGGGTCTGGGGTCTGGGTCTGGGTCTGGGTCTGGGGTCTGGGGTCTGGGGTCTGGGGTCTGGGTCTGGGGTCTGAGGTCTGGGGTCTGGGGTCTGGGGTCTGGGGTCTGTCTGGGGGGGTCTGGGGTCTGGGTCTGGAGTCTGGGGTCTGGGGTCTCTGGGGTCTGAGGTCTGGAGTCTGGTCTGGGGTCTGGGGTCTGGGTCTGAGGTCTGGGGTCTGGGGTCTGAGGTCTGGGGTCTGAGGTCTGGGGTCTGGGTCTGGAGTCTGGGGTCTGGGGTCTGGGGTCTGGAGTCTGGGGTCTGGGGTCTGGGGTCTGGAGTCTGGAGTCTGGGGTCTGGGGTCTGGGGTCTGGGGTCTGGAGGTCTGGGGTCTGGGGTCTGGGGTCTGGGGTCTGGGGTCTGGGGTCTGGGTCTGGGGTCTGGGGTCTGGGGTCTGGGGGGTCTGGGTCTGGGGTCTGGGGTCTGGGGTCTGGGGTCTGAGGTCTGGGGTCTGGGGTCTGGGTCTGGGGTCTGGGTCTGGGGTCTGGGTCTGGGGTCTGGGGTCTGGGGTCTGAGGTCTGTGGGGTCTGGGGTCTGGGGTCTGAGGTCTGGGGTCTGGGGGTCTGGGTCTGAGGTCTGGGTCTGGGGTCTGGGGTCTGGGTCTGGGGTCTGGGGTCTGGAGTCTGGGGTCTGGGGTCTGGGGTCTGGGGTCTGAGGTCCTGGGTCTGGGGTCTGGAGTCTGGGGTCTGAGGTCTGGAGTCTGAGTCTGGAGTCTGGGGTCTGAGGTCTGAGTCTGAGTCTGGGTCTGGGGTCTGGGGTCTGAGTCTGGGTCTGGGGTCTGGGGTCTGGGTCTGAGGGTCTGGGGTCTGGGTCTGAGGTCTGGGGTCTGGGTCTGGGGTCTGGGTCTAGAGTCTGGGGTCTGAGGTCTGGGGTCTGGGGTCTGGGGTCTGGAGTCTGAGGTCTGGAGTCTGGGGTCTGAGTCTGAGGTCTGGGTCTGAGGTCTGGGGTCTGAGGTCTGGGGTCTGGGGTCTGGGGTCTGGGGTCTGGGGTCTAGAGTCTGGGGTCTGAGGTCTGGGGTCTGGGGTCTGGGTCTGGGGTCTGGAGTCTGAGGTCTGGAGTCTGGGGTGCTGAGGTCTGAGGTCTGGGGTCTGAGGTCTGGAGTCTGGGGTCTGAGGTCTGGGTCTGGGGTCTGGGGGTCTGGGGTCTGGGGTCTGGGGTCTGGAGTCTGGGGTCTGGGGTCTGGGGTCTGAGGTCTGGGGTCTGGGGTCTGAGGTCTGGGGTCTGGGTCTGGGGACTGGGGTCTGAGTCTGAGGTCTGGGGTCTGGGGTCTGAGGTCTGGGGTCTGGGGTCTGGGGTCTGGGGTCTGGGGTCTGGGGTCTGGAGTCTGGGGTCTGGGGTCTGGGGTCTGAGGTCTGGGTCTGGGGTCTGAGGTCTGGGGTCTGGGTCTGGGGACTGGGGTCTGAGGTCTGAGGTCTGGGTCTGGGGGTCTGAGGTCTGGGGTCTGGGGTCTGAGGTCTGAGGTCTGGGGTCTGGGGTCTGGAGTCTGAGGTCTGGAGTCTGGGGTCTGGGTCTGGAGTCTGAGGTCTGGAGTCTGAGGTCTAGAGTCTGAGGTCTGAGGTCTGGAGTCTGGGGTCTGGGGTCTGGGGTCTGAGGTCTAGAGTCTGAGGTCTGAGGTCTGGAGTCTGGGGTCTGAGGTCTGGGGTCTGAGGTCTGGGTCTGGGGTCTGGGGTCTGGGGTCTGGAGTCTGGGGTCTGGGGTCTGGGGTCTGAGGTCTGGGGTCTGGGTCTGAGTCTGGGGTCTGAGGTCTGAGGTCTGGGGTCTGGGGTCTGAGGTCTGGGGTCTGGGGTCTGAGGTCTGAGGTCTGGGGTCTGGGGTCTGGAGTCTGAGGTCTGGAGTCTGGGTCTGAGGTCTGGAGTCTGAGGTCTGGAGTCTGAGGTCTAGAGTCTGAGTCTGAGGTCTGGAGTCTGGGTCTGGGTCTGGGTCTGAGGTCTGGGGTCTGGGTCTGAGGTCTGGGTCTGGGTCTGGGGTCTGGGGTCTGAGGTCTGGGGTCTGGGGTCTGAGTCTGGGGTCTGAGGTCTGGGGTCTGGGGTCTGGGTCTGGGTCTGGGTCTGAGGTCTGAGGTCTGGGTCTGGGGTCTGAGGTCTGGGTCTGGGTCTGGGTCTGGGGTCTGAGGTCTGAGGTCTGGGTCTGGGGTCTGAGGTCTGGGTCTGGGGTCTGAGGTCTGGGGTCTGGGTCTGGGGTCTGAGGTCTGGGGTCTGAGGTCTGGGGTCTGGGGTCTGAGTCTGGGGTCTGGGGTCTGGAGGTCCTGGGTCTGAGTCTGGGGTCTGGGTCTGGGTCTGAGTCTGGGTCTGGGTCTGAGTCTGAGTCTGGGTCTGAGGTCTGGGTCTGAGGTCTGAGGTCTGGGGGGTCTGGGTCTGAGGTCTGGGTCTGGGACTGGGGACTGGGTCTGAGGTCTGGGTCTGGGGTCTGAGTCTGGGGTCCTGAGTCTGGAGTCTGGAGTCTGGAGTCTGGGTCTGAGTCTGAGGTCTGAGTCTGAGGTCTGGGGTCTGGGTCTGGGGTCTGAGTCTGGGTCTGGGTCTGGGTCTAGAGTCTGGGTCTGGGTCCTGGGTCTGAGTCTGAGGTATGGGTCTAGAGTCTGGGTCTGAGGTCTGGGGTCTGGGTCTGAGGTCTGGGTCTGGGTCTGGGTCTGAGGTCTGGGTCTGGGTCTGAGGGTCTGGGTCTGGGTCTGAGTCTGGGTCTAGAGTCTGAGTCTGAGTCTGGGTCTGGGTCTGGGTCTGGGTCTGAGTCTGAGGTCTGGAGTCTGGGGTCCTGAGGTCTGGGGTCTGAGAGGTCTGAGGTCTGGGTCTGGGGAGTCTGGGAGTCTGGAGTCTGTCTGAGTCTGGGGTCTGAGGTCGGAGTTGTGTCTGAGGTCTGGGTCTGGTCTGAGTCTGGGGGGTCTGGAGTCTGAGGTCTGGGTCTGAGGTCTGAGTCTGAGGTCTGGGTCTGGGTCTAGGTCTGAGGTCTGAGTCTGAGTCTGGAGTCTGGTCTGAGTCTGAGTCTGTCTGAGTCTGGGTCTGAGGTCTGGGTCTGGGGTCTGAGGTCTGGGGGTCTGGAGTCTGTCTGAGTCTGGAGTCTGGGTCTGAGTCTGAGGTCTGAGGTCTGGAGTCTGGGGTCTGAGGTCTGGAGTCTGACGTCTGAGTCTGGGTCTGAGTCTGAGGTCTGGAGTCTGAGTCTGGGTCTGGGTCCTGAGTCTGGGGTCTGGAGTCTGGAGTCTGAGTCTGGGTCTGAGGAGTCTGAGTCTGAGTTCTGAGTCTGGGTCTGGAGTCTGAGGTCTGGGTCTGAGTCTGTGTCTGGGGTCTGGGTCTGAGTCTGATTCCGGTCAGTGGAGTCTGGTCTGGGTCTGAGTCTGTGGTCTGGGTCTGAGTCTGAGTCTGGGTCTGAGTCTGGGTCTGGGTCTGAGTCTGAGTCTGGGTCTGAGTCTGGGTGAGTCTGGGTCTGGGTCTGAGTCTGGGTTCTGTGTCTGGGTCTGAGTCTGGTCTTTGAGTTCTGAGTCTGGGTCTGAGGTCTGGGTCTGGGTCTGGAGTCTGAGTCTGAGGTCTGGGTCTGGGTTCTGAGTCTGCAGTCTGGGTCTGGGTCTGGTCTGTCTGAGTCTGGAGTCTGGGTTCCTGGGTCTGAGTCTGGGTCTGG